CTAACGAACAGCAAAAGCACCTGCCTATGTCAATCTACTATCCCCATAGTACAAAAGTCGACCTATTCTGTGCAAGAAATAAATATTCCAAACATTGTCTGGGACAGTTGTGGGATGCAATATCTCCCAAATTAATACAACCACTAATATCAAAAAACGTTTTATGTAATGTGGCTGACGCAACAGATCAGAACGTTTAGCTTAAAATGTTGATGAACAGGGCCTCCCGAGTGGCGCAGTGGTCTAAGGCACTGCATCGCAGTGCAAGCTGTGCCATTAGAGATCCTGGTTGGAGTCCAGGTTCTGTCGCAACCGGGACACCCATGGGGCGGCGCACAATTGGCCCAGCTATTTCTTCACATTATAAGCGCCGCAATGCGCACATGGTATAAGTGCGAATGTTCCATTAGCGGAAAACACCATTATCAATAGTGACCGCAAATGCAATTATGTATGTAATGCTTTTATTATAGAGGTGCATTTTTATGGTGAAAATTATCTTCCCCAAACTTGAGACTCACGCGCTACTTATATATGCCAGTTAGGCTCTACACCCCTTGTAAAGCGGATGAATGTGCTTAATTTTAAGAAGTTATTTGGCCACTTTAGTTGTGATACAAACCTTATTAAAACATATAGGCCTATGGGCTAGGCTACATGAGGTGGGGGACTATGATTCGAACAAGTCGCAAAAAAAGACATTGTTTCTTATGCTGGGCATCATTCACAAGTGATAATATATAATTCACAAGTGCTAGGCTAATATTGTCACCCATCAGACTTTTCTTGATTTAATCTTGTCTTTACATATACTAAATAATATGTGTGATATTTGTTTTGATTTAGAATGGAGCATTATCATGCATCTCTATCGAAACAGGGGCAGCAGGTAAAAATAAATGTAATCTAATCTTTTATGGCCTATTTATTTATTGCCTTACCTCCATAACTTACTACATTCGCACACACTATATATATTTTCTGTTGTATTTTTGACTTTATGTTTTGTTTACCCCATATGTAACTCTGTTGTTTTTATCGCACTGCTTTATCTTGGCCAGGTCGCAGTTGTAAATGAGAACTTGTTCTCAACTGGCTTACCTGGTTAAATAAAGGTTAAATAAATAAAAAATAAATGAAAAAAGATGCACTTAAATAGCGACTGGAGGACACTTTTCCCCGTGGTTTATTTTCATGCCAGCCAGGTAGGCTATAGTCCTGTTGTAAATACAGTGAGGGAAAAAAGTATTTGATCCCCTGCTGATTTTGTACATTTGCCCACTGACAAAGAAATGATCAGTCTATAATTTTAATGGTAGGTTTATTTGAACAGTGAGAGACAGAATAACAACAACAAAAAATCCAGGAAAAACGTGTCAAAAATGTTGATTTGCATTTTAATGAGGGAAATAAGTATTTGACCCCCTCTCAATCAGAAAGATTTCTGGCTCCCAGGTGTCTTTTATACAGGTAACGAGCTGAGATTAGGAGCACACTCATAAAGGGAGTGCTCCTAATCTCAGTTTTTTACCTGTATAAAAGACACCTGTCCACAGAAGCAATCAATCAATCAGATTCCAAACTCTCCACCATGGCCAAGACCAAAGAGCTCTCCAAGGATGTCAAGGACAAGATTGTAGACCTACACAAGGCTGGAATGGGCTACAAGACAATCGCCAAGCAGCTTGGTGAGGAGGTGACAACAGTTGGTGCGATTATTTGCAAATGGAAAAAACACAAAATAACTGTCAATCTCCCTCCGCCTAGGGCTCCATGCAAGATCTCACCTCGTGGAGTTGCAAATATACAGGGGGGTACCGTTGCATAGTCAATGTGCGGGGGCACCGGCTAGTTGAGGTAATATGTACATGTGGGTAGAGTTAAAGTGACTATGCATAAATACTTAACAGAGTAGCAGCAGCGTAAAAAGGATGGGGTGGGGGGGCAGTGCAAATAGTCCGGGTAGCCATGATTAGCTGTTCAGGAGTCTTATGGCTTGGGGGTAGAAGCTGTTGAGAAGTCTTTTGGACCTAGACTTGGCACTCCGGTACCGCTTGCCGTGCGGTAGCAGAGAGAACAGTCTATGACTAGGGTGACTGGAGTCTTTGACAATTTTGAGGGCCTTCCTCTGACACCGCCTGGTATAGAGGTCCTGGATGGCAGGGAGCTTTGCCCCAGTGATGTACTGGGCCGTACGCACTACCCTCTGTAGTGCCTTGCGGTCAGAGGCCAAGCAGTTGCCATACCAGGCGGTGATGCAACCAGTCAGGATGCTCTCGATGGTGCAGCTGTAGAATTGATCATGAGAACGGTGAGGAATCAGCCCAGAACTACACGGGAGGATCTTGTCAATGATCTCAAGGCAGCTTGGACCATAGTCACCAAGAAAACAATTGGTAACACACTACGGCCGTGAAGGACTGAAATATCCTGCAGCGCCCGCAAGGTCCCCCTGCTCAAGAAAGCACATATACAGGCCCGTCTGAAGTTTGCCAATGAACATCTGAACGATTCAGAGGAGAACAGGGGGAAAGTCTTGTGGCCAGATAAGACCAAAATCGAGGTCTTTGGCATCAACTCAACTCGCCGTGTTTGGAGGAGGAGGAATGCTGCCTATGACACCAAGAACACCATCCCCACCGTCAAACATGGAGGTGGAAACATTATGCTTTGGGGATGTTTTTCTGCTAAGGGGACAGGACAACTTCACCGCATCAAAGGGACGATGGACGGGGCCATGTACCGTCAAATCTTGGGTGAGAACCTCCTTCCCTCAGCCAGGGCATTGAAAATGGGTCGCGGATGGGTATTCCAGCATGACAATGACCCAAAACACATGGCCAAGGCAACAAAGGAGTGGCTCAAGAAGAAGCACATTAAGGTCCTGGAGTGGCCTAGCCAGTCTCCAGACCTTAATCCCATAGAAAATCTGTGGAGGGAGCTGAAGGTTCAAGTTGCCAAACGTCAGCCTCGAAACCTTAATGACTTGGAGAAGATCTGCAAAGATGAGTGGGACAAAATCCCTCCTGAGATGTGTGCAAACCTGGTGGCCAACTACAAGAAACGTCTGACCTCTGTGATTGCCAACAAGGGTTTTGCCACCAAGTACTAAGTCATGTTTTGCAGAGGGGTCAAATACTTATTTCCCTCATTAAAATGCAAATCAATTTATAACATTTTTTGACATGTGTTTTTCTGGATTTTCTTGTTGTTATTCTGTCTTTTAATGTTCAAATAAACCTACCATTAAAATTATAGACTGATCATGTCTTTGTCAGTGGGCAAACGTACAAAATCAGCAGGGGATCAAATACTTTTTTCCCTCACTTATTTGCAGTGTGCTTAATATTAGGAAAGTTGAGAAATAAATATAGTTGATGGGATCCTCTTTTTATTAGCGGCCATCACTCTGTTTTCTCCTGCAATTGCATAGCCTATAGAAATGTTGCGCAACATGAGCTCATGGCCTCTCATGAAGTGTATATTAGATTTTCTAAAATATTTGCATTAATGTCAGAGTGATTAGAGGGACAATAGAGTGCTGAGCACCAGGCAGTTAGCAAGTTTGGTAGGCTACTAATGACCAGCAGCAGCATCAGAGCTTGGAGAAGCCTAATTACCGTGACTAAATGGTCATGTGGAATTTGACTCCCTTCATGACTCGTGACCACAGGTGTGGCGGTAATACGGTCACCGCAACAGCCCTAGATGTGACTGCTGTTCATGTAGGGATGGAGAAGTATGGAGGCATGGTGTGTGTCCTAAATGCCACCCTATTACCTATATAGTGCACTACTTTTGACCAGGGCCCATAGAGCTCTGGTCAAAAGTAGTGCACTATGCAGGGAATAGGGTGCCATTTGGGATGCATCCCATGGAGATATGGGCGTTCTTCTACATCTGTTGCTGGTTGCTTTCTGTGTACAGCTGAGGTTGCATTCCTCAAGCCCTAGCCATTTAAACATTCTTTCAATGGCTCATCATAGCATCATGACATCGGTAGTTTTCATGTTGAATTATATTGTACATTTTTAAAGGCCCACTCCTTAAAGTCACAGAGTGGGCCTTTTTAATATGACAAATACGTCATGGCCAAATTATATCATTCATGATTACTGGACTTGATGAACTCCGAGTAGTTGTTATCAGAATAAGAAGTGGTATTGAGATATTTCCATGTTCCAATTGATTCAAATTAGTCATACAGATTAAGTTTGTTTCATGAGTTTCCGTCTATAACGATGTCCTCTGTGAACTCTCTCACGTCATTACAGCATTGACTGTTCCAACACTATCCTCTCTGAGCTCCTCCTAAATGGCTTGGCCCTGTTTGGCTGCACTCATTCTTTATAGCCTTGTAATCCCTGCCATTGTTTGTTAGCAACACATGCATTCTTTAAAGGGATATCGATTGCTGCTCAAAGGCAACTTTTACATTTTTCCTTTCAAAATTAAAGCACAATTATTTCAGATCATTGCTTATTCAAGAAAATAACAATATGCCTAGTCTTCCAGGCAATCGTTTGATTGTAATGTCCTTGGCACATACATGTATGCACACTTTTACTGGCGACCATCTACAATACTTGTCAATGAGCCAACATCTGATACGCCCCCTGAAATCTATCTGAGGATCTAGGTGTCTGTCTTTGTGGACCCATTTTGAATACAACCTGACATGGTTTATTTAGAAAAAGAGTGCCACAGCTGCCACATGCACATTATTTAACCTGTACCTGTAGGCTAGTGTGTATTTTGTCTACAAAAACATAAATTATATATCTGTCATTCATATGTTTGTGTTCCATCTATCTTTTCAAGTGCAGGAAATCGTCACATTGCAATAGATTGTAAATCAGGTGTTCTGCAGACAAAAGACTACAAACAATAGCAGTACAGCTATATCAGTTGTAATTGTTGTTTATACAAGAATGATACCTTTTCAATGTTGGCTGAGCGTCATGATTGTAATATTTTTTGTTTTTTCCCACTCAACAGGCTATGATTTCTCTGAGGTGCTGCGATGGTTCGGGGAGCGGGTGGACCGCATCATCCTCCTCTTTGACGCCCACAAACTGGACATATCAGACGAGTTCTCTGAGGCCATCAAGGCCTTCCGTGGCCAGGACGACAAGATCCGCGTGGTGCTGAACAAGGCTGACCAGGTGGACAGCCAGCAGCTGATGAGGGTCTACGGAGCTCTGATGTGGTCCCTGGGGAAGGTGATCAACACGCCCGAGGTGGTGAGGGTCTACCTGGGCTCGTTCTGGGCCAAGCCCCTGCAGAACACGGAAAACCGTAGGCTCTTTGAGGCAGAGACCAAAGACCTCTTCAAAGACATCCAGGGCCTGCCTCGGAATGCTGCCTTACGCAAACTTAATGACCTCATCAAACGGGCTCGACTTGCTAAGGTAATAAGCTGCTACGGTAACTGTACTGTTACTGTACTCCCCACTCTGCCCTGCCCAATCCTGTGCTTTCCTTGGGGGCCTATAGTCCTAATAAGACCATTGTCTGTAAATCACAATGCCGTTTGTCCATATGTAAGTGTGCAGGCACCAGGTCTGAGGTGATGATTACTGATTACATGTACCTCATGCACTGTCTTGTGTTAATTCTGACCGTGGTCATACATGTGTTGTCTTTGGCCCGTTGTGCAATGTGAACATCCTCAGGAACTGCTTGATCCCTGGTTTCCATTATTTCCATTCAGAGCTCTTTTCACTTCATTACATGGAGGAGGCTGGTACTTAAGTCTCCCTGCAGCATATGGAGCAATTTATCCAGAACAGAGGAGGGCCATGCCTGAGAGTGTAGCCTTATCTCTTCTGCAATATTTTCCAACTGGCCAGACAAAGAAACTAACTGAAGAAGAAACTAACTGTTAGAGCCCCCTGGATTGATGATGAATTTACATTTTTTATGGTTCAAATAAATGATGAAAAAGAGGTGGCAAACAAGTCAGGCTGCTCAACTGATTGGTTGACATACTGTAAGTTGAGAAATGTGGTGACTAAACAAAAACAAATTATATTACCAAAAAAAGATAATGTCATAAAACTCAATGGAGAAAGACTTTGAAGTACCTTAAATGATATCATGGCCAGAAAACCCAATTCATCTCCATCGTTCATTGAAGTTGGTGTCATGTATAACAAAACCTTTTGACAGTTGACGAGAGATTAACTGCTTCTCTTCTAGGTTTTGAGACATTTCCAGATTGTCTGCCTAATCAAATAAAATTGAGCTCAGACACCCATACATACCCAACCAGACATGCCACTAGGGATCTCTTCACAGTCTGTGAAGAGGTGTGAATGACGGAGTCAGGCGCAGGAGGTAAAACACAGAAATCAAGAGTTTATTCAGTGTACAATAATGTAGCGCATAAAGCGACAGAACGAAACTAGCACAAGGGAAAATCAACCTTGGTTGCATACAAGTAGCTCAACCGAGCTACTCACTCTCACAAAGAACAATCACTCACAAAGGACAAGGGGGCAGAGGGAACACTTACACACAGACTAATGAGGGAATGAGTACATTTACATTTACGTCATTTAGCAGACGCTCTTAACCAGAGCGACTTACAAATTGGTGCATTCACCTTATAGCCAGTGGGAAAACCACTTACAATATGTTATTTTTTTTTTTTTTTTTTTTTTGGGGGGGGGGGGGGGGGGGGGGGGTAGAAGGATTACTTTATCCTATCCCAGGTATTCCTTAAAGAGGTGGGGTTTCAAGTGTCTCCGGAAGGTGGTGAGTGACTCCGCTGTCCTAGCGTCGTGAGGGAGCTTGTTCCACCATTGGGGTGCCAGAGCAGCAAACAGTTTTGACTGGGCTGAGCGGGAACTGTGCTTCCGCAGAGGTAGGGGGGCCAGCAGGCCAGATGTGGATGAACGCAATGCCCTCGTTTGGTACGGAGGTGCCGTTCCCCTCACAGCTCCGTAGGCAAGCACCATGGTCTTGTAGCAGATGCGAGCTTCAACTGGAAGCCAGTGGAGTGTGCGGAGGAGTGGGGTGACGTGAGAGAACTTGGGAAGGTTGAACACCAGACGGGCTGCGGCATTCTGGATGAGTTGTAGGGGTTTAATGGCACAGGCAGGGAGCCCAGCCAACAGCGAGTTGCAGTAATCCAGACGGGAGATGACAAGTGCCTGGATTAGGACCTGTGCTGCTTCCTGTGTAAGGCAGGGTCGTACTCTCCAAATGTTGTAGAGCATGAACCTACAGGATCGGGTCACCGCCTTGATGTTAGCGGAGAACGACAGGGTGTTGTCCAGGGTCACGCCAAGGCTCATCGCACTCTGGGAGGAGGACACAACGGAGTTGTCAACCGTGATGGCGAGATCATGGAACAGGCAGTCCTTCCCCGGGAGGAAGAGCAGCTCCGTCTTGCCGAGGTTCAGCTTGAGGTGGTGATCCGTCATCCACACTGATATGTCTGCCAGACATGCAGAGATGCGATTCGCCACCTGGTTATCAGAAGGGGGAAAGGAGAAGATTAGTTGTGTGTCGTCTGCGTAGCAATGATAGGAGAGGCCATGTGAGGATATGACAGAGCCAAGTGACTTGGTGTATAGCGAGAATAGGAGAGGGCCTAGAACTGAGCCCTGGGGGACACCAATGGTGAGAGCACGTGGTGCGGAGACAGGTTCTCGCCACGCCACTTGGTAGGAGCGACCGGTCAGGTAGGACGCAATCCAAGAGTGAGCCGCGCCGGAGATGCCCAACTCGGAGAGGGTGGAGAGGAGGATCTGATGGTTCACAGTATCAAAGGCAGCAGACAGGTCTAGAAGGACAAGAGGAGAGAGAGAGTTAGCTTTAGCAGTGCGGAGAGCCTCCGTGACACAGAGAAGAGCAGTCTCAGTTGAATGACCAGTCTTGAAACCTGACTGGTTTGGATTAAGAAGGTCATTCTGAGAGAGAGAGAGCAAGAGAGTTGGCTAGAGACGGCACGCTCAAGAGTTTTGGAGAGAAAAGAAAGAAGGGATACTGGTCTGTAGTTGTTGACATCAGAGGGATCGAGTGTAGTTTTTTTGAGAAGGGGTGCAACTCTCGCTCTCTTGAAGACGGAAGGGACATAGCCAGCGGTCAAGGATGAGTTGATGAGCGTGGTGAGGTAAGGGAGAAGGTCTCCGGAAATGGTCTGGAGAAGAGCGGAGGGGATGGGGTCAAGCGGGCAGGTTGTTGGGCGGCCGGCTGTCACAAGTCGCAAGATTTCATCTGGAGAGAGAGGGGAGAAAAGAAGTCAAAGCATAGGGTAGGGCAGTGTGAGCAGGACCAGCAGTGTCATTTGACTTAATAAACGAGGATCGGATGTCAGACGAGGAGAGAGCAGTAGGAGTAGCAGGGTTTTCAGTGGTAATACATGTTTCTGTCAGCGCCAACAAGTCGAGGGACTGGAGGGTAGCATAGGCTGAGATGAACTCTGCCTTGTTGGCCGCAGAACGGCAGATCCAGAGGCTGCCGGAGACCTGGAACTCCACGTTGGTCGTGCGTGCAGGGACCACCAGGTTAGAGAGGCAGCAGCCACACGGTGTGAGGCGTTTGTATAGCCTGTGCGGAGAGGAGAGAACAGGGATAGACAGAGGCATAGTTGACAGGCTACAGAAAATGGCTACAATAATGCAAAGGAGATCGGAATGAAATTAACTAAACATCTGGGAAAGCGAGAGAGCGGGGCCTCCCTCACTTACGTTTCACTGAAACACCCAAATACCAGGTGTGTGTGATTGACAAGACAAGACAAATGGAGTGATGATAAATGGAGCGGTAGTGGCTAGTAATCCGGTGACGACGAACGCCGAAACCTGCCCGAGCAAGGAGGAGGGGCAGCCTCGGCTGAATTCGTGACAGTACCCCCCTCCTACCTTGAAGCGCAGCTCCAGCAGCGTGCCGACACCGGCCTCTGGGACGGCCAGGAGGACGCGGAGCAGGGCGAGTCGGATGGCGACGATGGAAGTCCCTCAGCAGAGAGGGATCGAGGATATCCCTCACCGGGACCCAGCACCGTTCCTCCGGACCGTACCCTTCCCACTCCACGAGGTACTGAAGGCCCCCCACCCGGTGCCTCGAATCCAGGATGGACCGGACAGAGTACGCTGGCGCCCCCTCAACGTCCAAAGGAGGTGGAGGGACCTCCCGCACCTCAGACTCCTGGAGCGGACCAGCCACCACCGGCCTGAGGAGAGACGCATGAAACGAGGGGTTAATACAGTAATCAGGGGGGAGTAATAACCTATATGTGACCTCGTTGATTCTCCTCTACAAACTGAGGGCTCAGCTTCCGGCAGGGCAGGCGGAGGGGCAGATTCCGGGTCGAGAGCCAGACCCGATGCCCCAGTACAAAGACGGGGGCCTCACTGTGGTGACGGTCAGCGTTGGCCTTCTGACGACGCACGCCGCGTTGGAGGTGAACATGGGCAGCGTTCCACGTCTCCTCCGCGCGGTGAAACCAGTCATCCACTGCAGGAGCTTTGGTCTGACTCTGGTGCCACGGTGCCAGAACTGGTTGATAACCTAAAACACACTGAAATGGCGTTCGGTTCGTAGAGGAGTGGCAGAGAGAGTTCTAGGCATATTCTGCCCATGGCAGGAACACCGACCACTCCCCCGGCCGGTCCTGGCAATAGGACCTCAGGAACCTACCCACATCCTGATTTAACCCGTTCCACCTGCCCATTACTTTCAGGGTGGAACCCAGAAGTCAGGCTGACCGAGACTCCCAGACGTTCCATGAACTCCTTCCAGACTTTTGACGTGAACTGGGGACCTCGGTCAGACACTATATCCTCTGGTACCCCGTAGTGCCAGAAGACGTGTGTAAACAGGGCCTCCGCAGTTTGCAGAGCCGTGGGGAGACCAGGCAGAGGAAGGAGGCGGCAGGCTTTTTCGAAAAGCGGTCCACAACGACCAGGATGGTGGTGTTCCCTTGAGAGACAGGCAGATCAGTTTAAAAAATCAACACACAAATGAGACCATGGTCGTTGTGGAACTGGTAAAGGTTTTAACTTACCCGCTTGGGAGGTGCCTAGGTGCCTTACTCTGGGCGCACACTGAGCAGGAGGAAACTTACACCCTCACGTCCTTAGCCAAGGTAGGCCACCAGTACTTTTTGGTCTGGCAGCGCACTGTACGACTGATACCTGGGTGACCAGAGGAGGGTGACGTGTGTGCCCAGTAGATCAGACGATCACGGATAAGCGCAGGCACGTACTGCAGCCCAGCTGGACACTGCGGTGGAGATGGATCTGTGCGTAATGCCTGCGCTATATCTGCGTCCATCGCCCATACTACCGGCGCCACAATGCAGGAGTCTGGCAGTATGGGGGTATTGTCTCTGGGCCTCTCCTCTGTATCATACAGCTGGGACAGTGTGTCTGCTTTCACGTTCTTCGTACCCGGAATGTATGACAGTGTGAAATCAAACCGCGTGAAGAATAGGGCCCACCTGGCCTGGCGAGGGTTCAGCCTCCTCGCTGCCCGAATGTACTCCAGGTTATGGTGGTCCGTCCAGACGAGGAATGGATGTTTCGCCCCCTTGAGCCAATGTCTCCACACTGTCAGGGCTCGGACCACAGCCAACAGCTCCCGATCACCAACGCCATAGTTCTGCTCAGCCGGGCTGAGCTTCTTTGAGAAGAACGCACAGGGGCGGAGCTTGGGTGGCGTGCCCGAGCGTTGAGACAGGACTGCTCCCATCCCAACTTCGGACGCATCCACCTCCACTACGAACGGTAGTGATGGATCGGGGTGGGCCAGTACCGGGGCCGAGGTGAACAGTTCCCTCAGGTTACTGAAGGCCCTGTCAGCCTCAGCAGACCAGCGGAGCCGGGACAGACCACCCTTCAACAGAGACGTAATGGGAGCTGCGACCTTGCCAAAGCCCCGGATAAACCTCTGATTAATTGTTGGCGAAGCCAAGGAAGCGCTGCACCTCCTTTACCGTGATTGGAGTCGGCCAATTACGCACAGCTGCAATGCGGTCGCCCTCCATCTCCACACCTGTGGTAGAAATGTGGTATCCGAAGAAGGAGACGGACTGCTGGAAAAACATACACTTTTCTGCCTTAGCATGAAGGTCATTTTCCAACAGTCGGGCCAGTACTTTGCAAACCATGGACACATGCTCGGCGCGCGTAGCGGAATACACCAAGATGACGTCGATGTAGACCACTACACCGCGACCAAGCATGTCCCAAAACACCTCATTCACAAAGGACTGGAAGACTGAGGGAGCATTCATCAAACCATAGGGCATCACCAGGTATTCATAATGCCCCGTGGTTGTGCTGAATGCGGTCTTCCACTCATCTCCCTCTCGGATATGCACCAGGTTGTACGCACTCCTGAGATCTAATTTAGTGAAGAAGCGCGCTCCATGCAATGACTCAACCACTGCCAGAATGAGGGGGAGAGGATAACTAAATCTAATCATCTCCTTGTTCAGTGGTCAATAATCAATGCAAGGGCGCAGACCGCCGTCTTTCTTCTTCACAAAAAAGAAACTCGAGGAGGCGGGTGAAGTGGAGGGACGTATGTACCCCTGGCGCAGGGACTCAGGTGACGTAGGGATACACATGACTCCTGGGAGGTACAGCATCTACCCGAGGTTTATTGCGTAATCCCCCGCCCAATAAGGTGGTAATTTAGTTGCTTTATTTTTAGAGAAGGCTTGTGCCAGATCATGGTATTCGGGGGGAATGCGCACGGTGGAGGCACCGTCTGGACTTTCAACCGTGGTTGCACCAACGGAAACACCCATACGCCTACCCTGACACTCTCGTGACCACCCAGTGAGAACCCTCTGCGGCCATGAAAAAGTGGGGTTGTGGAGTGCTAGCCATGGAATACCTAACACCACAGGGAAAGCAGGAGATGCAATGATGGAAAAAGTGACCCGCTCACAATGCGTCTCCTGTGTGATCATGGTGACTGGTACCGTGACTTCCTTTATCAACCCGGACCCTAATGGTCGACTATCAAGTGCTCTGATGGGGCGTGAAATGGATAGGGGAACTAATGAAATGCCCTGGCGGCGTGCGAATGTTTTGTCCATAAAGTTCCCAGCTGCGCCTGAATCGACTAGCGCCTTACACTGGGGAACTCTCATGTGATCAGGGAAGTATATGGGTATAGTACAGTGCTCAGCAGAGGGCTCTGAACAAGAGTGGGTGCTCAATACCTGGGGTGATGCGAGAGCCGGCCGCCTCCTGACCCAAAAGAGCACTGACGACAACGTGTGGTGGAATGTCCCTTTGTGCCATCCGAGTGGCACTGGCGCTGTCGTCCTCCTCTCTCTTGGTGCGCGGTACCACCCAGCTCCATGAGCTCTGGATCCGCATCGGTCGGGGCGGGAATGGGCAGACCTCCTCCAGGACGTCCTCTGGTTGCCAGCAGTTTATCCAGACAAATGGCCATGTCCACCAGTTCGGTAAAAGACAAACTGGTGTCACTGCAGGCTAGCTCCCGTCGGACGTCCTCCCGTAGATGGCACCGGAACTGGGGATCCAAATACATTACATTTACATTTTAGTCATTTAGCAGACGCTCTTATCCAGAACGACTTACAGTTAGTGCATACATTATTTTTTTTCATACCCCCTGTGGGAATCAAACCCACAACCCTGGCGTTGCAAACGCCATGCTCTATCAACTGAGCTACATCCCTGCCGGCCATTCCCTCCCCTACCCTGGACGACGCTGGGCCAATTGCGCGCCGCCCCATGGGTCTCCCGGTCGCGGCCGGCTACGACAGAGCCTGGATTCGAACCAGGATCTCTAGTGGCACAGCTGCCTTAGACCACTGCGCCACTCGGGAGACTATAAACAAAAACAAACACAGGAATCCGGCAGCTCTCTGCATTCCTTCCTGCTATGCTGAGTGTGTGAGACAATGTGATGTAGTAAAGCACTCTGTACCCCCAGGTTGGCCTTGTCGGTTTCGGTTGCCCCTTTCCCTGGTCAGTGGGGAATGTATGACGTCCTAACCCAAAACTAAGAACCCTGCTTACCCACCCTCTCAACCTCTCCCTCCCTGTCAGTCTGTCTGTCTGTCTGTATGCACTGCCAGGGCCTGCAGCAGCGCCATGTTTACGCCAACCTTGTCTGTCTTTGTCCGTCTGTCTGTCCATCCCACAATGCCTGCCTGCTTCCAAGAGGAATAAACATTATCATATGGAAACTAAAGGAAAAACCTTACCTTGTCCCCTGGAGCGAGCTTCCTCTCCTTTATTGAGGACCTTTTAGTGTAAACACCGGTGTGAATGTTCCCTTGGCAAGGACATTTACAAGGTGGAGTCGCACTTGCAAACACAAGGGACACATTGATAATCCTGCTGGTCCAACAATGCTTGGAGAGGTTGAAGGACCCTGGTGAATGAATGCAATCAGCTTCTTTCCGATGTGTTCTGTTTTAACCCACCTTATCATTTCCCCTCATACAATTTCAGTTCACACATACACTGTGCAAGTCTCATTATGACATCAGATGAAAATATCAAGCATGGAGAAGGAAGGAAACCACACAGAGATGTTGACACAAGTTTGCTCCACAGCAGCAGTGTAATAGGACCTTATTTGAATATGTGGAAAGCTGACAGCTGGCAATGAATTCAAAAGACAAGTGGCTCAGGCTTGACCATACTAATACTTGACCTCTCTCTCTCATAGGTGCATGCCTACATCATCAGCTACCTGAAGAAAGAGATGCCGTCGTTGTTTGGGAAGGAAAAGAAGAAGGAGGAACTGATCATGCGACTTCCTGAGATCTACACCATACTGCAGAGAGAGCACCACATATCCGCTGGAGACTTCCCCAATGTCGTCAAGATGCAGGTCTGCTGGGTTACTATGGCTCCTGAGAATAATACATGTGGCTGCATCCCAAATGGCATCTTATTCCCTATATAGTGCACTACTTTTGACCAGTGCTACATGTGCCCTAGTCAAAGTAGTGCACTATATAGGGAATAGCGTGCCATTTGGGATGCATCATAGGTTTTCATCTAGGTACAACTCAATGGCTCATCTCGAAATGCAGAGTATTGTAAAATATTTACCCTTAACTAAAATGATTATCTTTAACACCTCAAGTGAGTTGTGATACAAGTAAAGGGGCAGATCATCAACAATTAATAAAAACGTAGTCATTGGTCATAGTTTACTGCCGGACATTTCCATCCAGTTGAAAGCGAGAGACGGCCACACCTCCCCAGCTGTGTGAACGCAGCTGTTTTCTGTCAGCTACACAGAAAAGAGAGAGCTAGGCCTTAGAGGTAGACTTAGCCTGGCTTTTTATTCGGAAGGGAATAGCTCAACTCATGGAACCTAGAGAATCATCACAACATTTGGAAGTGAGAGCAGTGCAGCTGGTTATGAGACATTGTCTAGAGAGAATGCTCCACTATTGAACATTGAGCATGTTATAGTGTGTAAGGCTCCCCGAGGAGCAGTGTTATTCTCAGTCCTGTTATTGTGTGTTGAGGAGAAGGGACCACCCGCCATAGTCTTAAATTCCTCTGCATTTTAGTCATGGGAGTTTTACTTAACAAAATGTTCTACACAGCACCTCAGAGACCTGAGGCCTTTAGCCATTTATGTATTGTCAGTCAGAAACAGTCAAACAATGAAATGTAACCGTAACATACCCTTTGGTCATCTCACCCTAATCTTAGCCCTGATATGACTTTAGGGTCCATTAGATACCATAATAATAGAGGCTACAGCCATATCAGGGCTAGCCTAATCCCTGCTTTACACGTGACCTAGTAGTTACTTCATAGGCTGCGTTTACACATGCAGCCAAATTCACCATCATTTTCCACTAATTGTCTTTTGACCGATCAGATCTTTTGCCCATAATTGGGCATAAGATCAGAATTGGGCTGCCTGTGTAAACAGCCAAATACGACAATGGACAGTTCATGACCACCCAGGTCACTCTGGGTCAATATACAGTGGGGAGAACAAGTATTTGATACACTGCCGATTTTGGCAGGTTTTCCTACTTACAAAGCATGTAGAGGTCTGTAATTTTTATCATAGGTACACTTCAACTGTGAGAGACGGAATCTAAAACAAAAATCCAGAAAATCACATTGTATGATTTTTAAGTAATTAATTTGCGTTTTATTGCATGACATAAGTATTTGATACATCAGAAACGCAGAACTTAATATTTGGTACAGAAACCTTTGTTTGCAATTACAGAGATCATACGTTTCCTGTAGGTCTTGACCAGGTTTGCACACACTGCAGCAGGGATTTTGGCCCACTCCTCCATACAGACCTTCTCCAGATCCTTCAGGTTTCGGGGCTGTCCCTGGGCAATACGGACTTTCAGCTCCCTCCAAAGATTTTCTATTGGGTTCAGGTCTGGAGACTGGCTAGGCCACTCCAGGACCTTGAGATGCTTCTTACGGAGCCACTCCTTAGTTGCCCTGGCTGTGTGTTTCGGGTCGTTGTCATGCTGGTAGACCCAGCCATGACCCATCTTCAATGCTCTTACTGAGGAAAGGATGTTGTTGGCCAAGATCTCGGGATACATGGCCCCATCCATCCTCCCCTCAATACGGTGCAGTCGTCCTGTCCCCTTTGCAGAAAAGCATCCCCAAAGAATGATGTTTCCACCTCCATGCTTCACGGCTGGGATGGTGTTCTTGGGGTTGTACTCATCCTTCTTCCTCCAAACACGGCGAGTGGTTTAGACCAAAAAGCTCTATTTTTGTCTCATCAGACCACGACCTTCTCCCATTCCTCCTCTGGATCATCCAGATGGTCATTGGCAAACTTCAGACGGGCCTGGACATGCGCTGGCTTGAGCAGGGGGACCTTGCGTGCGCTGCAGGATTTTAATCCATGACGGCGTAGTGTGTTACTAATGGTTTTCTTTGAGGCTGTGGTCCCAGCTCTCTTCAGGTCATTGACCAGGTCCTGCCGTGTAGTTCTGGGCTGATCCCTCACCTTCCTCATGATCATTGATGCCCCACGAGGTGAGATCTTGCATGGAGCCCCAGACCGAGGGTGATTGACCTTCATCTTGAACTTCTTCCATTTTCTAATAATTGTGCCAACAGTTGTTGCCTTCTCACCAAGCTGCTTGCCTATTGTCCTGTATCCCATCCCAGCCTTGTGCAGGTCTACAATTTTATCCCTGATGTCCTTGCACAGCTCTCTGCTCTTGGCCATTGTGGAGAGGTTGGAGTCCGTTTGATTGAGTGTGTGGACAGGTGTCTTTTATACAGGTAACAAGTTCAAACATGTGCAGTTAATACAGGTAATGAGTTGAGAACAGGAGGGCTTCTTAAAGAAAAACTAACAGGTCTGTGAGAGCCGGAATTCTTACTGGTTGGTAGGTGATCAAATACTTATGTCATGCAATAAAATGCAAATTAATTACTTAAAAATCATACAATGTGATTTTCTGGATTTTTGTTTTAGATTCCGTCTCTCACAGTTAAAGTGTACCTATGATAAAAATTACAGACCTCTACATGCTTAGTAAGTAGGAATACCTGCAAAATCGGCAGTGTATCAAATACTTGTTCTCCCCACTGTATCTATTGCCAAGAGTCTTTGTATGGTTTGAGATCCTACCTGCACCCTACTTATTGGTTGTATGTAGGAAGCCGTTGTTGTCGTACTGTAATGTGTGCTTTTGTGCAGCAGGACTTGATTACAAATAACATTGATCTCTGAACTTTCTTTCTGTCTTTGTTTTTACAGGAGCAGCTCCAGCACTATGACTTCAGCAAGTTTCCCTCCCTGAAGATGAAGCTGATCGAATCTGTGGACAAGATGTTGGCTAACAAGATCTCTGGCCTGATGACCAATGATCCGCGACGAGGAGAGCAAGGCGCCACCAGCCATGGTGAGCGGCGGGGCCTTTGAGGGCTCCCAGGACGGGCCCTTCGGCCAGGGCTACGGAGAGGGCATCAGCGCCGGGTCTGACTGTGAGGACTGGATCGTGAGCCGTGACAAGCACAAGTACGACGAGATCTTCTACTCCATGAATCCCATCAACGGGAAAATCAGTGGAGTCAATGCCAAGAAGGAGATGATGAACTCCCGTCTGCCAAACACAGTCCTGGGGAAGATCTGGAAGCTAGTGGACTGTGATAAAGACGGCATGCTGGATGACGAGGAGTTTGCCCTGGCACAGCACCTGATCAAGGTGAAGCTGGAGGGGTACGAGCTGCCCACTGAGCTACCTCAGCACCTGGTGCCTCCCACTCACAGGAATAACGAGGTCGCTGACATCCTCTACAACCACGACGCGGATTAAGGACGAGCCAAAGAAACACCAATGGAGGACACTCCAACTCCATTGTGTTCCAATGCCCAAACTCATGCACTAAGTAGTATGATGTGATGTTTTGGCCATGCATACTAAGTAGTGTGCTAGTGTGGATATTGGGAAATAGGCAATGATCCAGTCTTAACAGGAAACAAAGCGGGGACAAATCTGACTCAAAAACAACCAGTGACCTTACTAAAGTTATTTTTTTGACCCAAAGCTTTTATTTTCATCAATGAAGAATTTATTCAAAAGATTGACACTGCACTTGAGTTAACATTAGTGAAGGTTAGTTGTATATGTATCCAGGAACAGTGGTTACCATGCTGCCACAATGTAATATTTTGAAAACATTTGTCTTAAATATGTTTAGTCTGTAGTCAAAATATAGAGGAAGAAACTATGTGGAATTGTGTTCCTGAACAAATACATCCTGGGAAGCTGTCTGGGTGGGATACAGAGGAAGTTTTCACATGGAGAGGTTGATGTGATAGACTGGACAAAGGTTAGAGTGCATCTCCTCTTGTTTTAAGTGGCTTGGCCATTTTACCTACCGGAAAGAGATTTCTATTTTCAGAGAGCACAGTCTGGTTTTGCAAAAAGACTGCCATTGCTTCAGTGCTTGATTTCCAACACAAAAAACAGTTTGTGTAACAAAATACATTTTGTCCCATGTTTGTGTGCTTATGACAGGAGTGGATTCCTTGAGGACACATCATTGATACTCACAACAAGCTTATGATTGTGCCTTTGTAGAAGTTCTTGTCTGTATCGTTAAGTAAAAAATGGCGCACTGTGTCTTCTTACCTGGCCAGCTTGTAGACTGCATATAGAGAAACTCAAACATTTTAAATGTAATAAAATAAAAAGTTAAAATGTCATTTTGGGAATTTGTTTTTGTAACATTGTTATTTGAATAGTTTAAGTGATATGTGTGTTCATCTCTTCAGCCTTAAAGCGATAGTCTGACATTTAGGCAATTAAGCCCTTTTTTTTCTACTTACCCAGATGAACTTATGGATAAACATTTTATGTCTGTGTGCAGTTTGAAGGTAGTTTCTGGAGCCATTGCTAACTAGTGTTAGTGCTATGACTGGAAGTCTACAGGAACAGCTAGCATGCTAGCTATCTTTAACTTCCTCTGGGTAAGTAGAAAAAAGTGCTTAATTGAAAAGATGTCGAACTGTCCCTTTAAGAGTTCTATGCAAATCCTGTTTTATTTCACTTTATCCAGATATTTATGATCATGGGTTAGAGAGATTTCCGTATTATTCAGCCACTATCCTGTGTATTCATTGTACACCACCCAAACTGTCCTGACGCAGGATTTATGTTTTCAGAACATAGTTTGCAGAGCGGCGCAAAATAGTAAACCTAAGATCCCCATACAACCCTGTCGCTCTTGGGGGATGTGCTTGAGTGTAAATTCCTGCCTGTCAACATTCAATCTACAGTGAAAATAACCAAACAATTGATATTGCATAATTTCCTCTCTTGGGAGGTGGAGGCTCTTTTTGCTTGTTGTAATATGTGTTGCTCATTCTAGTGATTTACTAATTCTAATGATTTATTTTTGGTGGCTAGCTGGAAAGGGTTGTAAGTTATGAATATACAGGGAACTGTATATCATATGGGTATCTGTCAGACCACGCGTGATGCACTGAAACCCATCTGAAACATTTTGATTTCTTCTTTGTCAAGATAATCCATCCACCTGACAGGTGTGGCATATCAAGAAGCTGATTAAACAGCATGATCATTACACAGGTGCACCTTGTGCTGGGGACAGTAAAAAGACACTCTAAAATGTGCAGTTTTGTCACTCAACACTGCCACAGATGTCCCAAGTTTTGAGAGAGCGTGCAATTGGCATGCTGACTGCAGGAATGTCCACCAGAGCTGTTGCCAGCGAATTGAATGTTCATTTTTTCTACCATAAGCCGCCTCTAATGTTGTTTTCGAGAATTTGGCAGTACGTCCAACTGGCCTCACAACGGCAGACCACGTGTATGGCGTCGTCTTGGCGAGCGGTTTGCTGTCGTCAACATTGTGAACAAAGTGCCCCATGGTGGCGGTGGGGTTATGGTATGGGCAGGCGTAAGCTACGGACAACTAACAGAATTGCATTTTTATCGATGGAAATGTTAATGCACGAGATCCTGATGCCCATTGTCGTGCCATTTATCCGCCGCCATCACCTCATGTTTCAGCATGATAATGCATGGCCCCATGTCACAAGGATCTGTACACAATTCCTGGAAGCTGAGAATGTCCCAGTTCTTCCATGGCCTGCATACTCACCAGACATGGCACCACCCATTGAGCATGATTGGGATGCTCTGGATCAACGTGTACGACAGCGTGTTCCAGTTCCCGCCAATATCCAGCAACTTCGCACAGCCATTGAAAAGGAGTGGGACAACATTCCACAGGCCACAATCAACAGCCTGAAACTCTATGCGAAGGAGATGCCGCGCTGCATGAGGCAAATGGTGGTCACACAATATACTGACAGGTTTTCTGATCCACGTCTGATCCACGTCCCTACCTTTTTTTTTTTTTTTTTAAGGTATCCCAGTCGTGAAATCCATAGATTAAGGCCTAATGAATTTATTTCAATTGGCTGATTTCCTTTCATGAACTCTAACTCAGTAAAATTGTTCAAATTGTTGCATGTTGCAATTATATTTTTGTTCAGTATATAGCCTTCCTGTATTTTGTTTCAATCAAAGCACATTCTGCCTAGTGGTACGTGTTGAGTTTTGGCTGCATGAGTTTTTTGGGGGGAATTTTCAGCTAACCAATCTTAAAATCTCATGGAATGAGGGGGTGTTTTTGGTGTAATACTATGCTATTATATTTGGTTATGTAAAATGCTAGTTATTCATTATTTGATCTTCCAAGACATTGATTCAGATTTGATCTAACTTTAACCAGCAATTGAAGTGCACCTAGCCTAGGCTACTCTTGCCTCGTGCAAAATGTGGTAATCCAGAAATGAGAGAGCCCATGTGTGGCAGTTTTTTTGAAAATCTGGGAATATTTGGCCAAGGAAACATTTCTGGTTGGTCTCAGGGAATGTAAAACTGTTAGGAAGGGAGACTTCTAAAACGGGGTTTGAGTGAAGTTGGAGCAAATATGTGGAATGAGCATCTAATGAGCATGGAGAGCCTCACAAATTTGACAAAATGACCTTATTGTATCTTTCAGTCTAATACGGCTATTTACTTTTGTAGCTCCTCATCAGAAGCACACTTTTTGTATGTAGTTAGGCCTAACTGTCCTCCAAGTTCAGCTGGAATTTAGCCCGAAAGGATTTGAGAAATATGATTGGTTGACGATAGGCCTATGACATTGGCCTGCGTCTCATCTTCCACTGCGCAGAATATCAGATCTCAACAACGATTGGAGAACTGTTTAACATCACCAGTAGGCTTATCTACCACATCCGTATTTTATATATATATATATATATATATTTTCATAAATGCAACGTGACTGCAAGAGACTGGTTCTAATCTCTAACTGAAATCAACTTTTTTTCTAAATTAGTGGTGTTTGACTTTGTTGTTAAAATGCAGGACCTGATTGTTTGGTTGCGGGACAAGGGCTAAAATGCGGGACTGTCCCACACAATCTGGGACATGTGGTCCCAACTACCAGGGCACCCCGTACCCTGAATTATTATTTTTTGGAAAACTGCTAACTTCCTGCTATTCTACACATTTTGCCATGAGCCTGAGAGACAATCTTGCAATTTTAAAAGCACATTTTTATGCTATTCTATACATTTTGCCATGAGGCTGAGAGAAAATATTGCTGTTTTAAAGCTAATTTCCTGCAATTCTACACGTTTTGCCATTGCTTATTACATGTTCATATGCTATCTGGGGGGCCACGACCTCCAGTGGGCCCTCAACTGACGTGTTCATATGCTGTCTGGGGGACCCCGACCCAAAGAGCCCCCAAAAGCGCGGTCGGTAATCCTGCCATGACTGTGCTTTAGATCAAATCAGAATCTGCATCCACTTCCTTCTTACGCCCCCTTTCTGCAATGTAAGTTGCCTATTCAGCATACTACTCTGTCTGCCAAATTGCCCTGTAACGCTAGCCCATACTTTACCCTTTGCCCCTTGCCTCCCATGCAGTCAGGTGAGCCAAGTGTTCATGCTGTAAATCCCTTACTCCAATGGCTTCAAAGTTCACTTTTGCGTTCTTGGACAGGAGAAGGACCCCACCCCACACCCTAAAATATGCGAAATTGGTAGATGAGTCTCTGAGATTTATTCACATTGTGTATCAAAATCTCAACCGATAAGGAGGATACTTTAGAAGGAAGGTAAGCAAAGAAGCCATATCTTTCCTCCTGTGTGCACCTATGGGCTTGCGATTCTCTCGGTGTTTACTGTGTATCTCCAGATTTGTCTTCCGTGATTTATTTACATTATTCAAGAGATAATGCTTGTTACGCTGTATGTGTTGACAACAGGTTCATGATAAACACTGTTTACCTTACAAAGTTTTCTTTTCCAAAACAAGTCAACACAATACTGCTACATTACTGATACTGTGTGATACCTAAAATCTTCTTATCATGCCAGTATTTAGTATGTCCTGTGTACTTCACAGAATGTATGTTGTTTTTAACCTTGTTGCATGTTCAACATATATTTTATGAGATACTGCTTGTTGTTGTAACTACAGTTAATTTAGTATGACCAGACACCAGTGTCTTAGCTAGTTACTGAGTAAGGTTTCCTTTTTTGTATTAAAATGGCTGTCACATGACTTGGCTCAGATGGAGAATTCCCATGTTGACTTCACCATTTTAACACTGAAATACATTCATCTCAGAGGAAGCAGAGAAGGAAAGGTTTGTCCGGTATAGTGTCCAGTTTGAATGTATGTGGGAATAATAGTCTGTTGTAATTGTAAAGTATAAATAAGCACCAGCTAAAACCTACTACATAAAATTATGGAATTAGTTTATCTTAGTCCAAAAAGTAATATGTTGGAAATAGCAGACTTCAAACAGTGCCCAGTCCAGGATATGAGCTGGCATTGCCCTGTGGATACAAAGAGCATGGCAGGATCCGGATGATATTATCTATAAAGCCAAGAATTTTTACAGTCCTGTTGAATGGTCCAGTAAAGGGAGATGAGGAGGTATAAAACTATATGGTCAGCAGGGTTAGGTTGGACTAACTGTGTTAAGAATCTCTTTAGATTCACCTTATTGAAACAGTCCAAAGACGGACAACTATTTCACTTTGGACTCAAACCATGGGAATTGGGAAAATCTTGTTAAGCCACCAGACATAGACAATAATAAAGACATTGCTAGTCAGGCTGACTGCAAACAGACTACCTTACAGCAATTGTGAGTACTGTTTAGTGTTCCAACCAACAAAGAGTTTGTTTTGAAGTGACACAATATATGGAGATGGGAATGAATACTCAACTTTGCTTTGACTAGTGTACTGTAGGCTGATTTGACCAGTGATGGTAGTGAGGTTGATATTGCTCTCTCTCTACAGGTGAATATATATATATAATATATATAGAATATATATATATATATATATATATATACTGCTCAAAAAAACATCCTAGATCTGAATGAATGAAATAATCTTATTAAATACTTTTTTCTTTACATAGTTGAATGTGCTGACAACAAAATCACACAACAATTATCAATGGAAATAATTTATCAACCCATGGAGGTCTGGATTTGGAGTCACCCTCAAAATTAAAGTGGAAAACCACACTACTGGCTGATCCAACTTTGATGTAATGTCCTTAAAACAAGTCAAAATGAGGCTCAGTAGTGTGTGTGGCCTCAACGTGCCTGTATGACCTCCCTACAATGCCTGGGCATGCTCCTGATGAGGTGGCGGATGGTCTCCTGAGGGATCTCCTCCCAGACCTGGACTAAAGCATCCGCCAACTCCTGGACAGTCTGTGGTGCAACGTGGCGTTGGTGGATGGAGCGAGACATGATGTCCCAGATGTGCTCAATTGGATTCAGGTCTGGGGAACGGGCGGGCCAGTCCATAGCATCAATGCCTTCCTCTTGCAGGAACTGCTGACACACTCCAGCCACATGAGGTCTAGCATTGTCTTGCATTAGGAGGAATCCAGGGCCAACCGCACCAGCATATGGTCTCACAAGGGGTCTGAGGATCTCATCTCGGTACCTAATGGCAGTCAGGCTACCTCTGGCGAGCACATGGAGGGCTGTGCGGCCCCCCAAAGAAATGCCACCCCACACCATGACTGACCCACCGCCAAACCGGTCATGCTGGAGGATGTTGCAGGCAGCAGAACGTTCTCCACGGCGTCTCCAGACTCTGTCACGTCTGTCACATGTGCTCAGTGTGAACCTGCTTTCATCTGTGAAGAGCACAGGGCGCCAGTGGCGAATTTGCCAATCTTGGTGTTCTCTGGCAAATGCCAAACGTCCTGCACGGTGTTGGGCTGTAAGCACAACCCCCACCAGTGGACGTCGGGCCCTCATACCACCCTCATGGAGTCTGTTTCTGACCGTTTGAGCAGACACATGCACATTTGTGGCCTGCTGGAGGTCATTTTGCAGGGCTCTGGCAGTGCTCCTCCTGCTCCTCCTTGCACAAAGGCGGAGGTAGCAGTCCTGCTGCTGGGTTGTTGCCCTCCTACGGCCTCCTCCACTTCTCCTGATTTACTGGCCTGTCTCCTGGTAGCGCCTCCATGCTCTGGACACTACGCTGACAGACACAGCAAACCTTCTTGCCACAGCTCGCATTGATGTGCCATCCTGGATGAGCTGCACTACCTGAGCTACTTGTGTGGGTTGTAGACTCCGTCTCATGCTACCACTAGAGTGAAAGCACCGCCAGCATTCAAAAGTGACCAAAACATCAGCCAGGAAGCATAGGAACTGAGAAGTGGTCTGTGGTCACCACCTGAAAAACCAGTCCTTTATTGGGGGTGTCTTGCTAATTGCCTATAATTTCCACCTGTTGTCTATTCCATTTGCACAATAGCATGTGACATTTATTGTCAGTGTTGCTTCCTAAGTGGACAGTTTGATTTCACAGAAGTGTGATTGACTTGGAGTTACATTGTGTTGTTTTAAGTGTTCCCTTTATTTTTTTGAGCAGTGTATATATATATGACCTTCAGGATGGATGGGGAGGAGTTTGAGACAGGCCGTATCCAGGTGCTTCAGGAGCAGCGTATGGCTGTCCAGAAGAAGACCTACACCAAATGGATGAACAGTGTCTTCACCAAGAACGGGGTGAGAGGAATGGTTCTTCATGCTTATCATCAGCTTTTTAACTGTCATGCCTTTTTAGTACCATGCTTATCACATGTCTAAAAGTAATGTCATACACTAATCACATACTCTTGGTGCTGGTCAAAAGGTTAAACTTGAAAAAGACCAAAGACCACACTTCACAAGTGTGCCTGATAATCTCTCCTTAGCAGCTGGCTGACCTCAGTCAGCCCTTACAAAAAAATATTAGTTTTTAAACTGCAGTAAAAGTGCACTAACTGCAGTCAACTGCGGTACTTTGGAGGCAGTAATTGCAAAATATCCTCAGTGTACTGCAGTTGAACTGCACTGTAACTGCAGTTACACTGTAAAATCACTGCACAATCTTTTTTCATAAGGGAGACCTCAGTGTCTGATTAGCCACTATCTGTGAAAGCTGTAACAACATGTTGAAGTTTATGAAAATCATCATTATCTCACAGACACTAATAAGCTGTTGGCTCTGATGAGGTAATATGGGCTAATAGCAATGTAATAAGGAAATAGATCTGTGGTAGATCAATGCCAGCAATATTTGATGAATCCAAAACTACGTTTAAACTGTGAAATGTGTTCCATTTCGCTACATTCTATTCTATCCATTCCTCTGAGATTTACTGGATGTGAGCCTGATGCTGCAAAACTGAATGTCATTTGCATGAAACTCGAGTTATTCAATACAACTTTATTCATCCCCCAGGGGCAATTTAGATGGGTAGGGCTATGCCTTCTTATCTAAGAGCAGTTAGAGAGGAGATGCAGGGCCAAAACTGAGGACTGAACTAGCCGAGGGGACTGTCATGCTTTATGGACTCTAGACAGGTAACAGTGCTGACGCTTGGTCAATAAGTAACCTCACTCTGTCATCTAGGAGAGGGAGGGAGAGTGAGAGAGAAAGAATCCAAGATCTGGCATAAATATTGCACCAGCTAGACACAGGAAGGAAAGAGACACTCTCTTTTTATAGCATTAGCTTTGTTTATGTTCCATTTCTAGGGAAGATAACATTGTTATTCAGAACCCATCACGTCAGATCCCTTCGAGGAGCTGAAGGTAACTTAAACGGTCAGAATGTGGGCACTGTTCTTCTTTTATGTCCCTCTTTTTCCTGCATGGGGACAAGGTTGTTCACACCCACACCATGTGATTCCGACGCATGGTTCACCACATGTATTTGAAATGCTTCCCCTTCCCTTTCCTCCTGCTCTCTCTCTCTCTCTCTCCCTCTGAGTGTTGTTCTGTTGAAATCAGCCCATAAGCAACATTTGCGTTGAATATCACGGTAGTGGAAATGTTACATGGCAGGCAGAGGCCTATAGAAAAGCCTTTGACTGCACACTTTACTGGAATTACCCATACACATCTGACTACAAAGATCCAGATGAACCAGATCACAAACACACCAAGTCAACCTGAATCTGTATTTACAGTGCAGCATCATGCATTGCCAACTCCTATGGTCGTTGTCATGGCATGGCCATAGGTGTTGGCTATAAAGCACAAACAGATCTGGGACCAGGCTAAAGTGCTCTATACTGTACTGTAAAAATCTGCGAAGACCTGAGCCAGCCAGCGTGCATACTGTAACAGTGATGTATAATAACCAGTGTAATGATGTAATGGATGAGCCCTGGCCTGGTACCCCTCCCAGCTTCCCACCACTGTGGATCCAGAGAGACCAGGGCAGACCAGGCCTGCTTAGGCTCTCCCATAATTACCCTGTTAGGAGAGAGGAGAGGCAGTCAGTAGACCTGAGTTCAAATACTATTTGAAATCTTTCAAATACTTTGAGCAATTGTTCTAGCCTGCCTGGAGTGGTGGGTTTTGCATTTGTGGGACTAATGTATTGGTCCATTAAGCCAGGCAAGCTCAATCAAGCACATAAAGTATTTGAAATTATTTAGAATAGTATTTGAACCCAGGTGTGGCTGCCAGGAGGTAAAGCGATCTGTTTAGAGACGTGATTCCCCTGGCGTCTGGATTAGGGAGTGGCTGTCACACTGGCTGAAGAGGATAGTGGCGGGGAGACGAGGGAGGGAGGGGAAGGGTGCTTGTCTGAGTCACACTTTAATGGAGCACAGTGGCAGCAGGCCAAACTAACAGGCCCCAATGTCAGAGCAGAGCCTCATAGCCCTGGCTGCAGCTGGCTGGGCTGGAGCCAAGCTAACGTTTCCTGCACCTCCTAACCAAATGTCACACATTTACACAGGTCAGTGAAAATAGACACCCCAGTATGTATGAGAAAATGAATTGTATTTTTGCAGAAGTGGTGAAGGTTATGACGAGTTGATCATAGTTTCCTTCCTGACTTGCACAACCTGTGAATACAATTTTTAATCACATCCACTAATTATATTTCTAGGAAAGAGATGAGCCGGTTTAGAGCTTTACTCTACTCTAACTAGTTGTGTTAGCTGGGTGATCAGGTGACGTCACAGAGGTGCAGTCCCATGACAGGTTTCGTAACACAGGTCATAAAGGTGTTCTGTTAAACAGGAAGTGTTTCTTCATCACTTTCTATGTCAATACATCTCCTATCATGTTACAAAAGACACAGTCATGCTATGCTTCCAACTGAAACTACTACTACTATAACAGGAAATTGGCTGGCTGGACTAAGCATTAATCATATATTCTATATTGATACAAAAGGCTCAATAGCCATTCTGTGCTGTCAACTAAAACTAATAGTATAGAATTGCTTGGCTGGAAGATGTGACTGAATTGAAGAAACTATGCACACATATCATGTTTCCAGGTGCAACAGAAAACAAATTACTAAAAAGGAAGAAGCTCCAGCACACTTGTGATCACGGATGCTCCACATACATACAGAATACAACCATTTAATGGATCTCACACCAATGTTTTTCCCCCCCATTCTCACACACATGTTGTCTGTCCCTCTCCAGGAGAAGCTGTCCCTTAGTGATGTGTACACAGAGCTGAAGACAGGGGTCCCCCTGGTCCGTCTGTTAGAGTTCATCTCCAGGGAGAAGCTGCCCACCCCCAGCCGACGCACCCTACGGGTCCACTGCCTGGAGAACAACAGCATCGCCATCAACTTCCTCAAGACTAAGGTACATTCACAATACAGAGTTTAGTGAACTGAAGGATTTAGGAATCCCAAAAAATATCTTACCAAGGATCTTTTAGGTTAATTTGAAGGGAAACAGGCCTACGTTTCCTTAGAACCTAGGCATCATGTGAAGTGTCATGGGGTAAGATGTTTTTTTTGTTTTACAGTTCTGTGGTTGTTTCTGAGTTGTTGGGGGTATGGTTTTGCCTCTGACAGTGGTTCACATGACAACAGAACAACTATCCTTACATTTATTTTGCAATATCAGAAACCAAAATTGGATTAAGCCATCTAGGCTAGTCCATAGCCATATTTATTTTATGTACTCTTGTACCCCTTTTACTACTGTACGTTTGGATTTCTCCTGAGTAGTTATCAACCAATACCTGCTGTCCTTTCAGATTCGTGTGGATCTGATTGGCCCTGAGAACGTTGTGGATGGAGACCGGACCCTGATCTTGGGCCTGCTGTGGATCATCATCCTACGCTTCCAGATCGGAGCCATCAATCTCGATGAGGTATTTCCCATAGAATTAGAATGAGTAGAACAGGTTTGGAACCTCTCTGACCAGAATAATTATATTTCTATAATACATGACCAAAAGTATGTGGACATCTGCTCGTCGAACATCACATTCCAAATCATGGGCATTAATATGGAGTTGGTCCCCCTTTTGCTTCTATAACAGCCTCTACTCTTCTGGCAAGGCTTTCCACTAGATGTTTGAACATTGCTGCGGGGACTCGCTTCCATTCAGCCACAAGAGCATTAGTGAGGTCGGGCACTGATGTTGGGCGATTAGGACTGGCTCGCAGTCGGCGTTCCAATTCATCCCAAAGGTGTTCAATGGTGTAGAGGTCAGGGCTCTGTGCATGCCAGTCAAGTTCTTATACACCGATTTCGACAAACCATTTCTGTATCGACCTCACTTTGTGCACGGGGGCATTGTCATGCTGAAACAGGAAAGGGCCTTTCCCAAACTGTTGCCACAAAGTTGGAAGCAAAGAAACATCTAGAATGTCATTGTATGCTGTAGCATTAAGATTTCCCTTCACTGGAACTAAGGGGCCTAGCCCGAACCATGAAAAACACCCCCAGACCATTATTCCTCCTCCACCAAACTTTACAGTTGGCACTATGCATTGGGGCAGGTAGTGTTCTCCTGGCATCCACCAAACCCAGATTCGTCCGTCGGACCGCCAGACGCATGATTCATCACTCCAGAGAACGCGTTTCCACTGCTCCAGAGTCCAGTGGCGGTGAGCTTTACACCACTCCAGCCGAAGCATGGCATTGTGCATGGTGATCTTAGGCTTGTGTGTGGCTGCTCGGCCATGGAAACCCATTTCATGAAACTCCCGACGAACAGTTCTTGTGCTGACGTTGCTTCCATAGGCAGTTTGGAACTCGGTAGTGAGTGTTGCAACCAAGGACAGACAATTTTTATGCGCTACACGCTTCAGCACTTGCCGGTCCCGTTCTGTGAGCTTGTGTGGCCTACCACTTCGCGGCTGAGCCGTTGTTGCTCCTAGACGTTTTCACTTCACAATGACAGCACTTACAGTTGACCGGGGCAGCTCTAGCAGGGCAGATATTTGACGAACTGACTTGTTGGAAAGGTGGCATCCTACGACGGTGCCATGTTGAAAGTCACTGAGCTCTTCAGTAAGGCCATTCTACTGTCAATGTTTGTCTATGGAGATTGCATGGCTGTGTCCTCGATTTTATACACCTGTCAGCAACGGGTGTGGCTGAAATAGCCAAATCCACTCATTTGAAGGGGTGTCCATATACTTTTGCATATATATAGTGTATTTCCTCTGTCCTGGGCATGACCTGGAATACACCTCACTGAATGAATGGAGATTATACACTGAGTGTATAAAACATTAAGGACAACTGCTCTTTCCATGACATAGACTGACCAGGTGAATCCAGGTGAAAGCTATGATCCCTTATTGATGTCACTTGTTAAATCCACTTCAATCCATGTAGATGAAGGGAAGGAGACAGGTTAAAGAAGGATTTTTAAGCCTTGAGACAATTGAGACATGGATTATATATATGTGCCATTCAGAGGGTGAATGGGAAAGACAAAATATTTAAGTGCCTTTTTGAACGGGGTATGGTAGTAGGTGCCAGGCTCACTGGTTTGTGTCAAGAACTTCAACGCTGCTGGGTTTTTCACACTAAACAGTTTCCCGTGTATATAAAGAATGGTCCAACACCCAAAGGACATTCAGCCAACTTGACACAACTGCGGGAAGCATTGGAGTCAACATGGGCCAGCATCCCTGTGGAACGCTTTCGACACCTTGTAGAGTCCGTGCCCCGACAAATTGAGGCTGTTCTGAGGGCAAAAGGGGGTGGGTGCAACTCAATATTAGGAAGGTGTCCTTAATGTTTTGTACAATCAGTGTATATTGTATTATGTGTCATACTATATTTGAAATCTGAATTTCATGTGGTTCAAAGAAATGTGAACATTTTAATTAAAATGACAAGATGTGATACAATGTATATTGTTCTCATCAAGTAAGTGCCAAAGGTCAAGCCTAACCTTTTGGATGAAAAAACAAGAAGTAATACAGATACTGTTCTTTAAAGTAAGTGCCAGAAGTGCAGACTGCATACTAAGCCCGGTCTACCTGTTTCAGGCAAGTGGTGGTGCCAGCAACGCCCGTCGTTCTGCCAAGGAAGCTCTTCTGATCTGGTGCCAGCGTAAAACAGCAGGATACTCCAACGTCAATGTGCAGGACTTCTCAGGAAGCTGGAGGAATGGGCTGGCATTCAACGCCCTCATTCATGCCCACCGGTACAGAGCAGCAAGGGGAAAATGGCAGGATAGTTCCGAGGGGCAGTTTCTTAGATTCAGATTAAGCCTTATTCAATGGAGAATCTCCATTAAAAGTGCTATTTAATTATCCAGAAGTGCATTTGCTTAATCTAGGTCTGGGAAACCCCCCTAGGAGTTTACAGATGTATAGGTTTTGTTAATGAATTTACTGTACCCATCACATTTCTGAACTGAAAAACATTTTGTCGCAGACCTGACCTGTTTGATTATAATCGTTTGCGTGAGGAGGACCCTAAGAGGAACCTGGGCCATGCCTTCACTCTGGCCGAGAATGAGTTTGGCATCCTCCAGCTGCTGGATGTGGAGGACATCGATGTTAAACACCCAGATGAGAAGTCCGTCATGACCTACGTATCTCTCTACTACCACTACTTCTCCAAGATGAAGCAGGGACAGACCATCCAGAAGAGACTGGCCAAGGTCAGTAGAATCAGAAAACTTCATTGCCATGCAACAAATGTTACTAGGAATTTATGTTGGTGATGTACACAGAAGCATCCATCGTCCTAATCCATCCTGTCTATGGTTATCTATAGCATATCCTTGGGTCATATCCACATCAGATCTAGTCAGGGATGGGCCCGCCTGGCGTGGTGGCTCAGTTGTGATGAGGATAACATCCATTCTCTCTTCATTGTTGACAAAACAAAAGGCGAGGCCACTGTGCAGTGTATACAACACACACACACAGTCTTGCGCGGCTAACCTTGTGGGGACATACAATTCAGTCCCATTTAAAATCCTATTTTCCCTTAGCCTAATCCTAACCTTAACCCAAAAACCTAACCCTAAACCTAACCCTAGCTCCTAACCCTAAAACTAACCCTATCTCCTAACCCTAACACTATTTCTAACCTTAACCCCCTAGAAATAGCATTTGACCTTGTGGGGACCAAAAAAATGTCCCCATTTGGTCAAATTCTTCTTGGTTTACTATTCTTGCGGGGACTTCTGGTCTTAACTTTAACATGTTAATATCCAGACCTGGGATTCAGGCGACCTCTGTAGGCCATTAGTTGAACTGCACTTCTCCTAATATTGAATGTACTGTAGTTTCTAAATAAGGGCAACGCCTCCTGTGACTGTCCTGTGGATTAGGCCGGGGATTTCACTGTGGAGCAATTGGAGGATGGGTGGTGCTACTGCTAGAGCTAATCAGATCAGTACAAACACCGATCCTCTAATGCAGAGCAATGACTGTCAGTTGTGGGGAGAAACAGACACTGAGACGCGCTGTAGCCGGAAGCTAGGGGCATAACCTGTCTAACCTACTACTCACTAATTGACAACTCCTGCAAGATTGGGCCCAGCCAGCAGGACTGAAAACGTGGATGGAAGCGCTTAATCTGACCCAGTCAGTGAGAGAGACTGTAGTTATTTACTCTATAGTGGATCTGAGGTAGAGAGTGAGAGGGAGGTCTATAGGAGGACAGTACGCTAGCGTCCGTTATGTTAGCACAGTGGCCAGAGTGACCTGAGCCACATGGAGAGCTGCAGCAGGACTGAGTGGAGTGCTGTTTGTTTTGAATGTACTGAGCCTGAGGACTGAGCCAAGCTGGGTGACACATCATCATCATCATCCTCTCATCTTCACCACCATGCTAACACGTGGAAACAGACACAGCAACATGTTTCTGCAGTGCTGAGGGGGAGAGCGAGAGCTGCTGTGGTGTGATCATAAAGGTGTATTACAGTACAGTAAATGATGACTGGCAGGTTGCGTGGGGAATAAGACGGCAGTGAGAGCTAGTCACTATGGTAATTTACAAAGAGCAGTGGAGCTGACAGGTATAACATGTCCTTCGGTGGCAGTCTGAGTTACCAATGGTTTAGGTGGCAACACAGGAGGGAGTCCACCATTGGACTCCAAATGGGGAAGCTGATCAAGGTGTGTAGTGTGTATGTAAGCCTAGTGTGTATGTACCTGTGTAGTGGGCGAGGTGTGTAGCCTACTGATGTAGTGTGTAGCTACAGTGAGGGAAAAAAGTATTTGATCCCCTGCTGATTTTGTACGTTTGCCCACTGACAAAGAAATGATCAGTCTATACTTTTAATGGTAGGTTTATTTGAACAGTGAGAGACAGAATAACAACAACAAAATCCAGAGAAACGCATGTCAAAAATGTTATAAATTGATTTGCATTTTAATGAGGTAAATAAGTATTTGACCCCCTCTCAATCAGAAAGATTTCTGGCTCCCAGGTGTCTTTTATACAGGTAAAGAGCTGAGATTAGGAGCACACTCTTAAAGGGAGTGCTCCTAATCTCAGTTTGTTACCTGTATAAAATACACCTGTCCACAGAAGCAATCAATCAATCAGATTCCAAACTCTCCACCATGGCCAAGACCAAATAGCTCTCCAAGGATGTCAGGGACAAGATTGTAGACCTACACAAGGCTGGAATGGGCTACAAGACCATCACCAAGCAGCTTGGTGAGAAGGTGACAACAGTTGGTGCGATTATTCGCAAATGGATGAAACACAAAATAACTGTCAATCTCCCTCGGCCTGGGGCTCCATGCAAGATCTCACCTCGTGGAGTTGCAATGATCATGAGAACGGTGAGGAATCAGCCTAGAGCTACACGGGAGGATCTTGTTAATGATCTCAAGGCAGCTGGGACCATGGTCACCAAGAAAACAATTGGTAACACACTATGCCGTGAAGGACTGAAATCCTGCAGCGCCTGCAAGGTCCCCCTGCTCAAGAAAGCACATATACAGGCCCGTCTGAAGTTTGCCAATGAACATCTGAATGATTCAGAGGAGAACTGGGTGAAAGTGTTGTGGTCAGAGGAGACCAAAATCGAGCTCTTTGGCATCAACCCAACTCGCCGTGTTTGGAGGAGGAGGAATGCTGCCTATGACCCCAAGAACACCATCCCCACCGTCAAACATGGAGGTGGAAACATTATGCTTTGGGGGTGTTTTTCTGCTAAGGGGACAGGACAACTTCACCGCATCAAAGGGTCGATGGACGGGGCCATGTACCGTCAAATCTTGGGTGAGAACCTCCTTCCCTCAGCCAGGGCATTGAAAATGGGACGTGGATGGGTATTCCAGCATGACAATGACCCAAAACACACGGCCAAGGCAACAAAGGAGTGGCTCAAGAAGAAGCACATTAAGGTCCTGGAGTGGCCTAGCCAGTCTCCAACCATTAATCCCATAGAAAATCTGTGGAGGGAGCTGAAGGTTCGAGTTGCCAAACGTCAGCCTCGAAACCTTAATGACTTGGAGAAGATCTGCAAAGAGGAGTGGGACAAAATCCCTCCTGAGATGTGTGCAAACCTGGTGGCCAACTACAAGAAACGTCTGACCTCTGTGATTGCCAACAAGGGTTTTTCCACCAAGTACTAAGTCATGTTTTGCAGAGGGGTCAAATACTTATTTCCCTCATTAAAATGCAAATCAATTTATAGCATTTTTGACATGCGTTTTTCTGGATTATTTTGTTGTTATTCTGTCTCTCACTGTTCAAATAAACCTACCATTTAAAAATATAGACTGATCATGTCTTTGTCAGTGGGCAAACGTACAAAATCAGCAGGGGATCAAATACTTTTTTCCCTCACTGTATGCCTTGACTTTGTTTGGCTTAGAGATCTAGCCTTCATCCACATGCAACTATAACCCTTTTGAAACTCTGTTTTCAACTGCAGTGTATGTAGTAAACATTGCTCCCAAGCAGCCCAAAAGTCTGAATTATGCAGAATGCACAGTGCCCTCTAGCCTTCAGATTGAATAAAAGGATATTAACTTTATTTCAATATGTTTTCATTATCTATAGGAGGTTTTACTGTATGTTTCATGTGTATCTTTCTGATTCGTTAATGTAATAACTCCCTCTCTTCTTTCTTCTTCCAGATCGTGGGTCTCCTGAAGGAGCTAGATGATCAGAAGATCCTGTATGAGAGAATGGTGTCTGACCTCCTGCGGTGGATCAAGACCAAAGTGGTGGAGCTTAACGACCGCTCCTTCCCCAACTCCCTGAGGGACATGCAGCAGCTGGTGGCCTCCTTCAAGACCTACCGCACCGTGGAGAAACCCCCCAAGTACCAGGAGCGAGGGGCCATCGAGGAAAACTTCTTCAGCCTGCGCACCAAGCTCATGGCCAACAACCAGTGGGCCTACGTTCCCCCGGAGGGGAAGAACCTGGGGGACATTGAGAAGAACTGGGCCTTAATGGAGCGGGCGGAGCATGAGAGAGAGGACGCCCTCCAGAGGGCGTTGCTAAGGCTGGAGCAACTGGAGCAGCTGGCCCAGAAGTTTGGCAGGAAGGTATGTTTCTTGTTTTGTAACTTATTGTCTTTTATTATTAGGGGTTATTTGATTTGTCATTGAGGACCACTTCGGAAATAAGTGTTTTAATTAATAATAATGCTTTCAAGTGATGGATCAAATGCACATCTTGTAGATTGATGCATGTCTTGGTCTTTGGTTACACCTTCTATAAACCACATGCGTATAGTACTCTATAACATCCTTTATAATGCCTTATAGTACACTTATGTGTTATGACACTGACTAAAATTCAATGCCATCCATTCAGGCAGTGCTGAGGGAGGGCTATCTGGAGGACACAGCACAGCTGATCAGCAGACAGGACCTGAGGGGGTTAAACAGCCTGGAGGAGGCCCAGGCTGCAGCCCGGAGATTGGAGGCCCTGGGGACAGACACCCTGGCTAGGGAGCCTCGCTTCAGAGCCCTCAGCGACATGGCGGCTGTCATTGAGAAGGGGAACTACCACAGCAAGGCCCAAGTCATCCGGAGGTAAGGCTTATAACTAAACTACCACAGCAAGGCCCAAGTCACCGGAGGTAAGGCTTATAACTAAACTACCACGGCAAGGCCCAAGTCATCCGGAGGTAAGGCTTATAACTAAACTACCACGGCAAGGCCCAAGTCATCCGGAGGTAAGGCTTATAACTAAACTACCACGGCAAGGCCCAAGTCATCCGGAGGTAAGGCTTATAACTAAACTACCACGGCAAGGCCCAAGTCATCCGGAGGTAAGGTTCATAGCTAAATACCACGGCAAGGCCAAGTCATCCGAGTAAGGTATACTAAATACCACGCAGCCCAAGCATCGGAGGTAGCTTATACTAACACCACGCATGCCCAGTCATCGGATAAGGCTTATCAAAACTACACAGCAAGCCAGTCATCGAGGTAAGTTATAATAACACCACAGCAAGGCCAGTCACTGAGGTAGGCTATAACTATTACACGGCGCCAGTCATCCGGAGGTGTTTATACACCAGCAGGCCAGCATCCGGAGTAAGGCTTAACTAAACTCCACGGCAAGGCCAGTCATCCGGAAGTAAGGCTATACAACTACACGGAGGCCGCATCGGTAAGGCTTATAACTACCTCCAGGCAAGCCAGTCATCGGAGTACAGTAGCTCAGTGCAGTAAGACAGTGAATGTGAATACTTAGTAAATACCCCAACAATCAGTATGTTTGTTACCCATTGCTCCAAATAATTCATCAAATATTAAATACAGCCTACATGATTGAATAGGAACAGAGAGCATGTATGATGCATATCTGCATTGGTGTTTTCCGTCCGTTGTTTCAGAGAGGTGAGCATCACAAAGCGCTGGAAAGACATCCTGTTTCAGTTGCAGCAGAAGAGAGAGCAGCTGGGGGACATTGTGAACACACTGAGCGTCCTCAGGAACATCGAACTGGTTGCCCAGGAGCTCAGAGATCTACAGGTACACAACTAATGGACAGCAAACAACACAGTATAATGTATAACGCTTAATACTTCATCCTTAATCTTTCATACTTAATGTAGGTGTATGTTTGCACAACTACGTGTCCCCCCCCCCCCCCCCCCCCCCCCCCCCCCCCCTCCCCCCACACCCCTCTCTCAGGTTTTAGCAGGGTCCTCTGACATTGGGAAGCAGCTCCCAGAGGTGGAGGCCCTGCTTCAGAAACAGGACCTGCTGGAAACCCAGATCTCTGCTCATGGAGAGACTCTGAGTGCCATCAGTAACAGTGCCTTAAAGGGGACACACCGAAATGCACAGCAGATCCAGACCAGGGTCAAATCACTCAACGCTCAGTACAACTCTCTGGTGGCCCTTAGTAAGAACAGGTGAGCACACACACAACAACTTAGGCCCACATTTAATCAATTGTAGATAACGGCGAACCGCAGGTTTTATTTATACGACTATTTAAGTAAAGGTGTGGTTGTGCCTTAGTAATTACAATATTTGTGAGAGAAAAGGCTTGCATGGTGTGTTTGTTACAGAGTGGTTTACACCTTAGATACAGCGTAAACACTATCTGCAATTAGTTGGAATTTACTGACAATAGAGGCCTATTAGTACATATACTGCTTTATAAAATCTAGAACCACAGGAATGGTAACTGTTGATTGATGTGGGTCTATTGTTGGTTATTGTCTTAATGAATCAACAGGAGGAAAATGCTGGAGGGCCAGTTGAAGCTGTTTGAGTTTTTCCACGACTGTGAGGAGGTGGAGGCGTGGATCTATGAGAGGTGGCTTCCCCTTCAGTCTGCCAGTCTGGGCAGAGACCTCAGCCAGATCCAGCTGGCAATTCAGAAACACAAGGTCAGACCTTTTGTGCGTCACAAATGGCACCCTATTCCCTATAGTGCACTACTTTTGACCAGGGCCCTGGTCAGAAGTAGTTCGCTATATAGGGAATAGGGTGCAATTTGGGTCAGACCTTCTTCAGTCACACAAACATTGATTATTCAACTTCAAGTTGAATTAAGCTTACATAGCAGTCAATACAAACTTAAACCCATGGGCATGAATAAATACATTGACATAGTCCTATCTAAATATACTGGCATTTACAGTATGAACAAATGAAAATACGTAATGTCATAATGTGAAACAAACCCACACTTTTATATGCGTTTGTTGACCGACCTCTGCTTTGGCAGGTTCTTGAAGCTGAGGTGCAGTCCCATGAGTCTCTGTGCTCAGGGGTCGTGAGCAGAGGTCAGGAGATGTGCAGAGGGAAACACCCCAGTGAGGAGCACATCCAGAAGTCGCTCCGGACCCTGAAGAAACAGTGGGAGCACCTGAAGGATGAAGTGGTCAATCGCAAAAACAGACTGCATGCAGCCACCGTTATCAAACAGGTTACAACCATTAAAACAATGCAGAAATAAAAGTCATTGAAATAGACGGTTTGACAGAGGAATTATATTTAGGAGTATGTATGTAATAGGTTGGAGAAAGCTACCATAGCTAGTTCATTGACTTTCTCTATTTATTTTATAGACAGTGATAGTTGGAATGTAGAGGGGAGACATACAGAGGGAGTCAGAGAGGAAGGACTGAGATGGGATTCGTACCCAAGTCACCAGGGGTAGATGTGGTTTGGAGTCTGGGGGGCTAACCACCACGCCAGACTCTGGCACGTGATATTCTATTTTCCACAGAATTAGATAGAACACTAGATTGGGTTTTAGCATCCAGGCAACATAACTACAGGACGGCCATCTTGGTCAGGGAAAATGTTGTTTAAATTGTATTATATTATTTATTATTTTCCTCTTCAGTACTTTGCTGATGTGACGGAGGCCAACTCGTGGCTGAGCGACAGGAAGCCCCTTCTGATCAGCGAGGATTATGGGAAGGATGAGTCCTCCACCAGCGCCCTGCTGCAGCGCCACCTACGGCTGGAAAAGGAAATGGGAGCGTACGTCGTCGAAGTGAAACGCTTGGGAGAACAGGCCAAGGGAGCCTCTCAGCTGGCCCCGCTCACAGTAAGTTCCCCATCAATCACAGTGCCTTCAGGAAGTATTCACACCACTTGAATTTTTCCAAATTGTGTTGTGTTACAGCCTGAATTTAAAATGGATTAAATTGAGAGTTTTTTTCCACTGGCCTACACACAATACCCGAGGTTGTCAAAGTGGAATTATGTTTTTTGACATTTTTACAAATTAATAAAAAATGAAACGCTGAAATGTCTTGAGTCAATAAGTATTCAACCCCTTTGTTATGGCAAGCCTAAATAAGTTCAGGAGTAAAAACGTCCTTAACAAGTCACATAAGAAGTTGCATGGACTCAGTGTGCAATAATAGTCTCTGTAACCCACATATACAATGTTAGAATTGTTCTTCCGCTTTGACATTAGAGTATTTTGTGTAGATCGTTGACAAAATCATTACAATTAAATCAATTTTAATCCCACTTTGTAACACAACAAAATGTGGAAAAAGTAAAGGGGTGTGAATATTTTCTGAAGGCACTATAATTACACCACAGTCTCTAAATGTCATTGTATCATGAATACAGTGCCTTCGGAAAGTATTCAGACCCCTTGACTTTTTCCACATTTTCCACATCCTTATTCTAAAATCGATGAAATTTTTTTTCAGCAATCTACACACAGATAATGACAAAGCGAAAACAGATTTTAAGAAATTTTTGCAAATGTATTAAAAATAATAAACAGATACCTTATTTACGTAAGTATTCAGACCCTTTGCTATAAGACTCGAAATTGAGCTCAGGTGCATCCTGTTTCCATTGATCATCCTTGAAATGTTTCTACAACTTGATTGGACATGATTTGGCACACAACTGTCTATATAAGGTCCCACAGTTGACAGTGCATGTCAGAGCAAAAACCAAGCCATGAGGTCGAAGGAATTGTCCGTAGAGTTCTGAGACAGGATTGTGTCGAGGCACAGATCTGGGTACCAAAACGTTTCTGCAGTATTGAAGGTCCCCAAGAAGATAGTGGCCTCCATCATTCTTAAATGGAAGAAGTTTGGAACAACTAAGACTCCTCCTAGAGCTGGCCGCCCGGCCAAACTGAGCAATCGGGGGAGAAGGGCCTTGGTCAGGGAGGTGACCAAGAACCCAATGGTCACTCTGACAGAGCTCTAGAGTTCCTCTGTGGAGATCGTAGAACCTTCCAGAATCACAACCATCTCTGCAGGACTCCACCAATCAGGCCTTTGTGGTAGAGTGGCCAGACGGAAGCCACTCCTCAGTAAAAGGCACATGACAGCCGGCTTGGAGTTTGCCGAAAGGCACTTAAAGGACTTTCAGACCATGAGAAACAAGATTCTCTGGTCTGATGAAACCAAGATTGAACTCTTTGTCCTGAATGCCAAGCGTCACGTCTGGAGGAAACCTGGCACCATCCCTAAGGTGAAGCATGGTGGCGGCAGCCTCATGCTGTGGGGATGTTTTTCAGCGGCAGGGACTGGGAGACTAGTCAGGATCGAGGCAAAGATGAACGGAGCAAAGTACAGAGAGCTCCTTGATGAAAACCTGCTCCAGAGTGCTCAGGAACTCAGACTGGGGCGAAGGTTCACCTTCCAACAGGACAACGACCCTAAGCACACAGCCAAGACAATGCAGGAGTGGCTTCGGGAAAAGTCTCTGAATGTCCTTGAGTGGCCCAGCCAGAGCCCAGACTTGAACCCGATCGAACATCAAGGAGAGACATGAAAATAGCTGTGCAGCAACGCTCTCCATCCAACCTGACAGAGCTTGAGAGGATCTGTAGAGAGGAATGGGAGAAACTCCCCAAATACAGGTGTGCCAAGCTTGTAGCTTCATACCCAGACTTCGAGGCTGTAATTGCTGCCAAAGGTGCTTCAACAAAGTGCCCAGTAAAGGGTCTGAATACATATGTAAATGTGATATGTCATTATTGGGTATTGTGTGTAGATTGATGAGAAAAACAAACTATTTAATCAATTTTAGAATAAGGCTGTAACGTAACAATTTGTGGAAAAATTCAAGGGGTCTGAATACTTTCCGAATGCATTGTACATCCTCAAACACATTGGTTTTAATAATAAAGAAGTAGCTTACTATAAAAGTCCACCCCCATTGACTTCAAGAGTTGCTGAGCACTTTTGTATTTTTACGCAGGCTGAGGCCCAGCAGAACAAGATGCCCCAGTACAGTGAGTCCTCTGGTGAGGAGGAGGGGGGAGTGACCACTCCTGGGAGAGTGACCTCCCTCAGAGGCGCAAGGATCACTCAGACATCTACCCAGACCCATACGCAGGAGGCCAAGATCAGGTTTAAATACACACGAGGTACAGATTCTCTCCTTCTATCAAATATGGATTATTTATATACTGTTTTTGCAGATTTTGGGGGGGAAATGTTTTTCATGTTACTTTTCTACCAATAGGCTTAGTCCAGTTTCTAAGGTAAATAGTCTCTGTTTTCCAGGTGTGATGGTGTGGGACCGTGGGGAAATCGTGACTATCCTCAACAGAGACAATGAGGATAAGTTTCTAGTGAGGGACAGCGAAGGCAACGAACAGCTGGTGCCAAAGACGTACCTCACAGAACTCCCATCATCTACAGTAAGGCTCACTATTAGCTGTCTCTCTGGCCTTGTAAAGAGCTTTATGGTACTTTACCCATTTGATTCATCGCAAGTATAATTGTGTGCCTACATTAAAACTCATTAACCGACCCGCATAATCCCAGGTTGAGATCAATGGTCTACACCCCTCAAATTCAAATCTGGACCTCAAAGCCAGTTCCACTGTTTTGTTTCTGTATTATTCCCCTCTAGTCAGGGACTGATATAGACCTGGGACACCAGGTGTGTGAAATTATCAGTTAGAACAGAAAACCAGCAGTACTCCGGACCTTGTAGGGTAAGATTTGAATACCCCTGGTCTACACAGTTTAAACTTAATAATTCTCCATTTTAAATAGAACATGCCCTCTACACCACCTCCATCCACCAACGGGGTTGCTGAAAGCCCCACTAAGAGGGTGAACCGGGCGCGTCGCAGACGTTCCATACGCCGGGGGACCGCTGAGATCCAGTCCTCATCGATTCCTGATCCACATTACCAGAGAGAAACCATAGAGAGCACCCAGAGCAATCTAGACCGGGACTTCAACAGCCTGCACAGCCTGGCTAATGTGAGAAATAAGACCGGGGTTTCAGATTCTCCTCTACATTTTTTCCCATTGCATCACATAAGCAGTACAAGCAATCAAATCTCACATTGTCAATTGTTGCTCAATCTTGCATGCTTTCTCAAACAGCTGTAACTGTTGGTAGAGCATGGCGCTTGCAACACCAGGGTTGTGGGTTCGTTTCCCACGGGGGGCCAGTATGAAAGTGTATGCACTCACTAACTGTAAGTCGCTCTGGATAAGAGCGTCTGCTAAATGACTAAAATGTATATGCATTCGTAAATCAGGTCCTTTCTTGAGTTGAGCTCTGGGATGTAACAACCGTTGAGCATCTGATCTTATGGTTGATTGTGGAGGAAAGGGGTTGAGTGTGTTAGAATATGAGCATGTATGTTTATCCCACATCTGTTGCAAGGGGGTAAGGATGTTAGGGAGAATATAGGATGAACCACAATAATTGTTTGCTAAAATCCTACGCATGAACTGCCGACATTATTGCGCATATTAATTGATAATGATGGAAAATAAGATATGCAAGATATATGAATAGATATACAGTTGAAGTCGGAAGTTTACATACACCTTAGCCAAATACATTTAAACTCTGTTTTTCACAATTCCTGACATTTAACCCTAGTAGAAATTCCCTGTCTTAGGTCAGTTAGGATCACCACTTTATTTTAAGAATGTGAAATGTCAGAATAATAGTAGAGAGAATAATTAATTTCAGGAGTCATTAAAACTCGTTTTTCAACCACTCCACACATTTCTTATTAACAAACTATAGTTTTGGGAAGTCGGATAGGACATCTACTTTGTGCATGACACAAGTAATTTTTCCAACAATTGTTTACAGACAGATTATTTCACTTATAATTAATTGTATAACAATTCCAGTGGGTCAGAAGTTTACATTCACTAAGTTGACTGTGCCTTTAAACAGCTTGGGAAATTCCAGAAAATGAGGTCATGGATTTAGAAGCTTCTGATAGACTAATTGACATCATTTGAGTCAATTGGAAGTGCACCTGTGGATGTATTTCAAGGCCTACCTTCAAACTCAGTGCCTCTTTGCTTGACATCATGGGAAAATCAAAAGAAATCAGCCAAGACCTCAGAAAAAAAATTGTAGACCTCCACAAGTCTGGTTCATCCTTGGGAGCAATTTCCAAACGCCTGAAGGTACCACGTTCATCTGTACAAACAATAGTACGCAAGTATAAACACCATGGGACCAAGAAGCCGTCATACCGCTCAGGAAGGAGACGCGTTCTGTCTCCTAGAGATGAATGTACTTTTGTGCGAAAAGTGCAAATCAATCCCAGAACAACAGCAAAGGATCCTTTGAAGATGCTGGAGGAAACAGGTACAAAAGTATCTATATCCACAGTAAAATGAGTCCTATATCGACATAACCTGAAAGTCCGCTCAGCAAGGAAGAAGCCACTGCTCCAAAACCGCCATGAAAAAGCCAGACTACGGTTTGCAACTGCACATATGGAGAAATGTCCTCTGGTATGATGAAACAAAAATAGAACTGTTTGGCCATAATGACCATCGTTATGTTTGGAGGAAAAAGGGGGTTGCTTGCAAGCCGAAGAACACCATCTCAACCGTGAAGCACGGGGGTGGCAGCATCATGCTGTAGGGGTGCTTTGCTGCAGGAGGGACTGGTGCACTTCACAAAATAGATGGCATCATGAGGAAAGAAAATGATGTGGATATATTGAAGCAACATCTCAAGACACATCAGTCAGGAAGTTAAAGCTTGGTCGCAAATGGGTCTTCCAAATGGACAATGACCCCAAGCATACTTCCAAAGTTGTGGCAAAATGGCTTAAGGACAACAAAGTCAAGGTATTGGAGTGGCCATCACAAAGCCCTGACCTCAATCCTATAGAAAATGTGTGGGCAGAACTGAAAAAGCGTGTGTGAGCAAGGAGGCCTACAAACCTGACTCAGTTACACCAGCTCTGTCAGGAGAAATGGGCCAAAATTCCCCCAACTTATTGTGGGAAGCTTGTGGAAGGCTACCCGAAACGTTTGACCCAAGTTAAACAATTTAAAGGCAATGCTACCAAATACTAATTGAGTGTATGTAAACTTGTGACCCACTGGGAATGTGATGAAAGAAATCAAAGCTGAACTAAATCATTCTCTCTTCTATTATTCTGACATTTCACATTCTTAAAATAAAGTGGTGATCCTAACTGACCTAAAACAGGGATTTTTTACTATATATATATATTTGCGAGAGAAAAAAAAACATATGGGGGATTGGAAGTGATGCAGACAATTACATTGATGGAAGTTACAATCTATCTGCAATATTAAAGCTGATCTACCCCCCCCCCCCCCCCAAAAAAAAAAAAAAAAAACGATAAAAATCATCACACTACATCTAAGTTATGTAAGCTATAACACTACATTTTGTGTTATGCTTTGACATTTTTGTGAAGACATCTTTGATGATGTAGTGGCAGCGCCCGGTACAGAGAATAGGACCCAGAGCAATCATCCTGTAGCACACGTCTAAGTTGTCACATACTGGCAGCCAAATAGTATATTTGTGTCTGATTTCTCCACCATACAGTCCAGGAGGAAGACTCTGGAGGAGACGGTTCGGTTGCACCGCTTCTACAACACCTGTGAGGAGTTTGAGTCCTGGATGGAGGACAAGGAGAACATCCTTAACACCTTCAGTCCTAACTCTGACAACGTGGGAGTGGTGCAGGCCAAATATGAGGTAAGGATCCAGCCTCATCACTGAGATTAGTCTGTAACACTTTATTTGAAGGCCACCTACATAAGGACTTCATAACACATTCATAAGCGGTACATCAGCATTTGTCTCTAGTGCTATTATGTAGTTGATCTAAGAGTTGGAACTCCCCTTGTCATGAACTTCCCATGTTCCAGAACTTTCTGACCGAGCTGGCGAGTGGGAAGGGCCAGCTTGATGATATCACCAGACTGGGGGAGGAGCTAGTGAAGAGCAGACACAGTAAACACAGAGAGATACAGGCCAAGCAAGGACAAGTCACCCGCAGGTAGGTGGACTAGCAGAAAACTATTTTGTAATAGTGCTACTGACATCTACTAAGAATAACATGTTCAACTCTGTTTTTTAGATTAGATAGTACTTTATTGTCTGTTGTTCACAGAAATGTTTATTATGTACAGAAATTGCACTGCATTTTACTGAGACGCACACACAATATTTAAATCATTGAAGAGAGATGGCCATGTTGTTGTTGATGATATTGTTGTTCTTGCTAGGTGGGAGCGCATGCAGAAGCTGAAGGATGAGAAGTGCCATGAGCTGTTGAGTACGGCGGACGTGCAATCCTTCCTCCAGAGCTGTGAGGAGGCCCGGGCCCAGCTCATGGAGCAGTTCACCCAGCTGGACACTGTGGACGGTGTGGGTACTACCTCCACAGCCCTGGACACTGAGGAGAGGGCCCAGGCTCAGGCACTCAGAGACATACAGGCCCTGGAGAGGAAGATTGCATACCTCAAGAGTGTGGCTAAAATGTAAGGCACAATTGTAAACTGTTCCAAGACTTTATACTGTTATTGTTGATGGTTTTTAATGTAATGCCAGTTAGTTATTCATCCTTCCATTCATTCATGTTCTACATGTGTGTATGAACCAGGAAGCAGGACTGCAGCCCAGCGGAGGCTGCAGCCATCATGGAGGAGGTGCGGGGCCTGGAGGCTCTGCTGCAGCAGGTGAAGGGCCAGGCCTCAGAGAGACAGAGGCTTCTGGAGGAGGCCAAGCGGCTGCAGCTGTTTCAGCAGGAGACCAGGGACCTGCTGCTGTGGGCCGGGGCCGTCCAGGACCGCCTACTGGAGGACGACACAGCCTCGGACGTGACCTCCGCTCAGACCCTCCTGAAGGACAACCAGGATCTGAGGATAGAGATCGACGAGCAGAGGGAGAGGTGAGACAGAAGGAGTTTTGTTATTTTGGTACAGTAGATCAAACTAATTTAGGTTCTTTCCTTTCTGGAAAGTACACTTGTGTTTATAATAGTATGTTACAGTGAGGGAAAAAAGTATTTGATCCCCTGCTGATTTTGTAAGTTTGCCCACTGACAAAGAAATGATCAGTCTATAATTTTAATGGTAGATTTATTTGAACAGTGAGAGACAGAATAACAACAAAAAAATCCAGAAAAACGCATGTCAAAAATGTTATGAATTGATTTGCATTTTAATGAGGGAAATAAGTATTTGACCCCTCTGCAAAACATGACTTAGTACTTGGTGGCAAAACCCTTGTTGGCAATCACAGAGGTCAGACGTTTCTTGTAGTTGGCCACCACGTTTGCACACATCTCAGGAGGGATTTTGTTCCACTCCTCTTTGCAGATCTTCTCCAAGTCATTAAGGTTTCGAGGCTGACGTTTGGCAACTCGAACCTTCAGCTCCCTCCACAGATTTTCTATGGGAGTAAGGTCTGGAGACTGGCTAGGCCACTCCAGGACCTTAATGTGCTTCTTCTTGAGCCACTCCTTTGTTTCCTTGGCCGTATGTTTTGGGTCATTGTCATGCTGGAATACCCATTCACGACCCATTTTCAATGCCCTGGCTGAGGGAAGGAGGTTCTCACCCAAGATTTGACGGTACATGGCCCCGTCCATCGTCCCTTTGATGCGGTGAAGTTGTCCTGTCCCAAAGCATAATGTTCCCACCTCCATGTTTGACTGTGGGGATGGTGTTCTTGGGGTCATAGGCAGCATTCCTCCTCCTCCAAACACGGCGAGTTGAGTTGATGCCAAAGAGCTCCATTTTGGTCTCATCTGACCACACCTTCACCCAGTTCTCCTCTGAATCATTCAGATGTTCATTGGCAAACTTCGGACGGGCCTGAATATGTGCTTTCTTGAGCAGGGGGACCTTGTGGGCGCTGCAGGATTTCAGTCCTTCACGGCGTAGTGTGTTACCAATTGTTTTCTTGGTAACTATGGTCCCAGCTGCCTTGAGATCATTGACAAGATCCTCCTGTGTAGTTCTGGGCTGATTCCTCACCGTTCTCATGAACATTGCAACTCCACAAGGTGAGATCTTGCATGGAGCCCCAGGCCGAGGTAGATTGACAGTCTTTTGTGTTTCTTCCATCTACCAACTGTTGTCACCTTCTCACCAAGCTGCTTGGCGATGGTCTTGTAGCCCATTCCAGCCTTGTGTAGGTCTACAATCTTGTCCTTGACATCCTTGGAGAGCTCTTTGGTCTTGGCCATGGTGGAGAGTTTGGAATCTGATTGATTGATTGCTTCTGTGGACAGGTGTCTTTTATACAGGTAACAAACTGAGATTAGGAGCACTCCCTTTGACTGTGCTCCTAATCTCAGCTCGTTACCTGTATAAAAGAGACCTGGGAGGCAGACATTTTTCTGATTGAGAGGGGGTCAAATACTTATTTACCTCATTAAAATGCAAATCAATTTATAACATTTTTGACATGCGTTTATCTGGATGGTTGTTATTCTGTCTCTCACTGTTCAAATAAACATACCATTAAAATTATAGACTGATCATTTCTTTGTCAGTGGGCAAACGTACAAAATCAGCACGGCATCAAATACTTTTTTCCCTCACTGTATGTGCTGCATGCTGGGACATGGAGGTATCTGATGATGTATTCAGTGCAACTATTTCTCAGGTAAGCAGTGTTTCTAAGATAATTTAGTAGGAGAAGGCTAGTTTGTGATGAGACAATAGGAAATCATACACAGTGTTTTTTGTACTGTCCTTTATTAGTGTCTTACAGACATATTCATGATGCAGGGAAAACATACAGTATTCAGACCCCATCCCCCTTTTTCACATTTAAGAGTCTCACAGCCTGGGATTTTGATGCATTGGATTGGGAATTTGTATTTGTGAGCCATACGTTCTCCTGGGTCAGTACTTGGTTGAACCACCTCTGGCAGTTATTAAAGCCTGTAGTCTTTTTGTATAAGTCTCTAAACTTTGCACACAGTGATGGAGCATCTACAGTGGGGGAAAAAAGTATTTAGTCAGCCACCAATTGTGCAAGTTCTCCCACTTAAAAAGATGAGAGAGGCCTGTAATTTTCATCATAGGTACACGTCAACTATAGTAGTGTGTTACTGATGGTAGGCTTTGTTACTTTGGTCCCAGCTTCTGCAGGTCATTCACTAGGTCCCCCCGTGTGGTTCTGGGATTTTTGCTCACCGTTCTTGTGATCATTTTGACCCCACGGGGTGAGATCTTGCGTGGAGCCCCAGATCGAGGGAGATTATCAGTGGTCTTGTATGTCTTCCATTTCCTAATAATTGTTCCCACAGTTGATTTCTTCAAACCAAGCTGCTTACCTATTGCAGATTCAGTCTTCCCAGCCTGGTGCAGGTCTACAATTTTGTTTCTGGTGTCCTTTGACAGCTCTTTGGTCTTGGCCATAGTGGAGTTTGGAGTGTGACTGTTTGAGGTTGTGGACAGGTGTCTTTTATACTGATAACAAGTTCAAACAGGTGCCATTAATACAGGTAACGAGTGGAGGACAGAGGAGCCTCTTAAAGAAGAAGTTACAGGTCTGTGAGAGCCAGAAATCTTGCTTGTTTGTAGGTGACCAAATACTTATTTTCCACCATAATTTGCAAATAAATTCATAAAAAATCCTACAATGTGATTTTCTGGAGAATTCTTTTTCTCAATTTGTCTGTCATAGTTGACGTGTACCTATGATGAAAATTACAGGCCTCTCTCATATTTTTAAGTGGGAGAACTTGCACAATTGGTGGCTGACTAAATCCTTTTTTTCCCCACTGTATTTTCTTCATTTTAAGCCACTCCAGTGTTGCTCTGGCAGTGTGCTTTGGATCATTGTCCTGTTGAAAGACAAACTTCTTCTGCAGTTTGAGTTTTATGGCAGAGGGGCGCAGGTTTTTATCTAGGATGTCTTTGTATTGTGTGCCATTCATCCTCCCATCACTCCTGACTATTGCCAGTCCCTGCTGCTGAAAAGCATCCCATGACGCTTCCACCACCATACTTTACGGTGGGGATGGTGTTTCCTGGCTGGTGTGCAGTGTTTGACTTGTGCCACACATACCGCTTAGCGTTCAGGCCAAAAAGTTGCACTTTAGTCTCATCAGACCACAAGACGTTCTGCCACATAACTGCAGTATCTTTTAGGTGACATTTTGCAAACTCTTTGGGGGGAAGGATGTGCTCTTTGCGGGCAAGGATATGTCCCTGACTTGCTTAGAATGCTCTTTCGTTTTCATTTTGATTCTTTCTTTTGAAAGTCTCTACCATACTTTGGGACCATACAGAGAGAGTGGTATTTATGCTCACAGATTAATTTAAAGCAGGTGATCCACTAATTTCTTACACAGGTGGAGTCCTTCAACACATTGTGTGACTTATTGAGGTAATATATTGCGCCTGAGCAAATTGGTGCTCAAGGCTTTGTGGAAATAAATCCTCAAATTCTGAATCTGAGACAAAATATGGTTAAAAGTGTTGGGGGATGAATACTTTTTTTAAGGCACTATGTGTGAATCATTTTTTGTAAATGTCACAGTAATGTATTTGTTTTCTTCTAACTAAAAAGGATGAAAGACATGGAGAAACTTGGAAAGTCTCTTGAGGAACAATCAAGGGGAAACCGAGGTGTGAAGGACATCCAGCAGACGCTGGGTAAGCTGAGCCAGGAGTGGACCAAGCTGGACAAACTGTGGGGCAGTAGGAACAGGAGACTGGAACAGGGGGTGGAGCTACAGAAGCTGAACCAGGAGGCTGACCGTATCGAGGCAGCCCTGTCTGGGCATGAGGCCAGGCTGAAGGTCAAAGACCTGGGGGTAAGATACAATATACTTTACATGGTTATACAGTTAATGAAAATATTATAATAAGCCCTATGGTATGTTGCGATGGATGTGTATTTGTGTGTGTGTGTGTGTGTGTGTGTGTGTGTTTGTTGTCCAGGTAAGGCCACTTCTGTTCTCATCCATTGTGTTTGTCTCTCTCTCTGTGCTCAGGACTCTGTAGACAACGTCCACAGTCTGTTGGGCAGACAGGAGGAACTAGAGGGCCTGCTGAAGGCTCTGGACCAACAGATCAGCCTCTTCCAAGACAAGAGCAAGGAACTCATCAACAAACGACACTTTGCTGCCAAACAGTAAGACCTATGTTGATGACCAGTTTGGAGACATTTTCCCCAAATGTATAGGAAATGTGTTGCAGTGAACAATGTATTGTCCAAATTATTAAAAAAATATTGATATGATCTTTGTGTTATGGTCAAAAAATTTTTTTAATGACTTTCTAGAATACAGGAGAGGTCACAGAACATTCAAGAGCGCAATACGAAGCTTGGAGAGAGCTGCAAACAAAGACGGAACCTCCTGCTTGATTCACATAAGTATCAGGTACATTTGACACAGAAACACACATTTTGTGTACCTTTACAATGGCAGTTAAGTGCTTGAACATTTTGTGTGCGTTTGTCATCAGGAGTTCAAGAGAGATGCGGAGGAAATGCTGTTGTGGATGGAAGAGAAATTCAAGATAGCTGAAGACGAGTCGTACCGTGACCCTACCAATATCCTCCGCAAGCTGAAGAGACATGAAGCAGCTGAGAAAGAGATGCAAGCTAACCAAGTGTGGCTAGACAGACTCACACAGGTATCACAGGGCTTTCACCATTCAATCCTTTTTATACCTCATGGCTCATAATGACATCTTCTCTCATCTGTTCGAGTCATGGTGAAACTACAAAAAAAAAGTACTATAAAGATAAAAAGTCTGTTCACTGTTTGTTGCTCCCACTTCTTAACAATGCGATAGTAAACTTGACAAACATTCAGTAAAACTGGACCACTAAACCAGTTGGGGAGGAGATGCTTGTGGATGAGCACTACCAGAGCCAGAGATTTAGGAGGAAGGCCTCCTACTGTACGGTTAAATATTGTACCATAAGCCTAATCGCTTTCCATCCATTTGGGGAGCAGATGTTACTGTACTGTTATATTGTACTGTAAGTTAACCTGTTGTCTGGTTCCATCAGTTGGGGGAGGAGATGCTGTCGGAGGACCACTATGAGAGCCAGAGCATCAGGAGGACGTCGACCCAGGTTAACAGTCGCTGGGTCAGCCTCCAGGGGAAGATGACTGAGAGAGGAGACAAGCTGAGACAGGCCGGACAGCAGGAGCAGCTCATGGAGTTACTACAGGTAACACACTAACAACCTCAGTCTACACTACCTGGAACTACAGTTAACACACTAACAACCTCAGTCTACACTACCTGGAACTACAGGTAACACACTAACAACCTCAGTCTACACTACCTGGAACTACAGGTAACACACTAACAACCTCAGTCTACACTACCTGGAACTACAGGTAACACACTAACAACCTCAGTCTACATTACCTGGAACTACAGGTAACAGTCTACTGTAACAACCTCTACACTACCTACCTGGATCTAGTTTGGCTATTGAATTTGTGGGAAAGAATGCTGTAGATAAATGTGGGTTGCGCACTTTATTTTACGGTACTGTTTCCACTGGTATATAACAAATAGGTCAATCATAGGTTGTTATTATTAGGATGTTATTGCTATTTTGCAAAGTAATTTTTCAGTAAATACCTAGTTATTTCTTTACCATGAATTGAAATGTGTTGATGATGCTTATGATGCGTATCATAATCTAGTCTTGTCCACCAGCCAGCTCTCGCTCTCTCTGTCTATATGCGGTAGCAATTGAGCCTGAGGACAAGGTAAATTGTAGTCGCATTGTTCGCAGGATGCCAAGCTGAAGATCGAGGCCATCCAGAGGATGTTGCAGAACGCAGCCAAAGGGCACGACCTTCGCTCCAGCCGCCAGCTGTTGAAGGAGCACCAGCAGCTAGAGACGGAGGCCCAGGAACTGGCTGACAAGATCAACACCATCGTCACCCGGGCCAAGCACCTTGCCACGAATCACTTTGACTCCCAGAGGATCCTTCAGGAGACAGATACGTACATGAAGCTGTACGTAGTAAAGACTCTGATTAATATGATCTGTAATTAGTAGCAGTAAAGCAATCCACTGATCGATCCGTTGATTCATTTATGCATTGAATTAGCTAGCCTAGTTCTCTAACTAGGGACCTGAGTTTTTCCTGTTCAGGTAACATGGTCAGAAAAAACATCTGTCCACTTTTCATAATCAGTGTGGATATTTTTGAGACATAATCTCTGAATGCAGGTTCAAGTCGCTGCAGAAGCCTCTGGATCATCGCAGGGCCCAGCTGGAGGCATCCGTGGCTCTGTTTGGCTTCTATCATGACGTAGACCTAGAACTTTCCTGGATCACAGAACACTACCCATCCACTGGCTCCACAAACTATGACAAGTCCCTGGCAGGGGCTATCAACCTCATGCAGAAACATAAGGTATCAGTCTGGTAACAAGGAAATAATGACAAAGTTAGATTGCGTTTATGTTTTATTTTATATCAAGTCATTTTGTGACTCTTATCCAGTCTTTTTGGTTAGTTTGTTTCCTGCCCAGGGTGGACAGATATAAATGAGCTAAAGCTGGTGCAATATATTTGTTGTGCATAGTCCCTGACAAAAATAAAATGTGTGTTCTGTGATCAGGAGCTGCAGGCAGAAGTGAACGCCCACTGTAAACACTTGAACCGGGTCCTGGAGAAGGGGCGGAGCCTGGAAAAGTCCAGCCAATATAATGGAGAGGAAGTCCAGCAGAGGAATACACACCTGGCCACAGAGTGGAAGGAGCTAGAGGCAGCCTGTGACAAGAGGGCCATCCACCTGAACAGGGCCATCACTAGAGAACAGGTAGGGCCAACAGGAAAAGCAGCATCCTGATTGTGATGGATCCAAAGAGGTTTTATTCATGATTATACAACAGGTGGTTCTAATCCTGAATGCTGATTGGTTAAAACCGCAGCCGGTGTCTACTTCACAAGTTACCACCGGCTAAATCTATGACGTTAAAATGCCTATTTACTCTGTTCCATCTGACTGCGCAATCCACTGTCTCATCAGCCCAGCCAGGCAATGTATAATCCTGATCTCCACTATAAAAAGCATCTAGACATTAGCTCACATTTCTTTTAGACTGTACCTCTGAAAGACAATAATCATTATACCCTGCATATACCACCTCATCACTGCACTCTTTTGCTCCTAGATCTTGCTTGACTGTGCGGAGCTGGAAACCCGTCTCTCTGAGACTCTAGCGTTGGTCAGCACTGATGAGTATGGCAAGAACGATCTAGCCACCCAGAGCCTTATCAAGCAGCATCAGGTACTGTTACCCCATTCTCCTGTTCTCTTGCGTTTGACTAGCGGTATTCAAACTATGTGTCACTGTCAATGTTCACAGTTCTGTTGTTTGGATAAAGTTGTTTTGGATAAAGCCATCTGCTGAATGACCATAGTATGCCGTGATAATCAGAGGAGTTGGTTAAAGCATCTACAGATCTAGGGACCACTGTCTAATGCAGCTGCACGTTGAGGACCATGGTGTCTAATGCAGCTGCACGTTAAGGACCATGGTGTCTAATGCAGCTGCACGGTGAGGACCATGGTGTCTAATGCAGCTGCACGGTGAGGACCATGGTGTGTAATGCTGCTGTCTCTGTGTGTCCTGCAGGCGGTGGAGGGGCAGATGGAGGTGCTGGAGGCCCAGGTGGAGGAGCTGGGGGATAGTGTGGAGTCAGCCGTCCATGAGTGGAACCTGGAAGAGGTCAACAGACCATACAGCCGCATCAGCAGTCAGATGAGCCAGCTGCAACACCATGCCCAAATCAGGTGAGCTCAAGTCACTGCAGCAATCAAACACATGACATTTGATACAAAGATGCCAAGAGATCATGGTTTGATGCCCCCCCCCCCCCCCCCCCCAAAAAAAAAAAAAAAAACTACAGGCACCCCGAGGAGACATATGTTATGTTTGAGTGTCTTGTGTGTAACAGAGGAGTTGTCTACCTTCTCTTAGGGGCCAGAAGCTGAGGGAGGCTCTCCACCTCCATGAGTTCAGACGGGAGTATTCAGAGCTGGACGACTGGATCACACAGCAGAGACAGATAGCCTCCTCTGAGGACTACGGAAATGACTACGAACATGTATTGGTGAGAAATTCGATCTACCACTACTGTCTATATATATATATATATATATATATATATTTGCACAGATCTCCAAAATATTCAGTTGTAAAATATTATCCAGATTGTGAGCGTGAGTCATGCCTATTCCTTCCGAATGTTCTTGATTTCCCATGACAGCTACTGAATGGTAAATTTGAGGCCTTCCTGAAGCAGTTAGACGTGGGTTTTGATAGGATGCGGAGCTGCAAAGAGCTTGCTGATAGGCTCATTCAACATAAGCATCCTCAGGCTTCCACCATCAGGGACATACAACATCAACTCAGGTATGGGCACCTAATCGATATGCTGTATTGCTCACACTACCAGTCCACTGTACAAATTAGCAATGCATGTATCCACATTCAAATGATGAAATACAACCCAAATCTGGTTGAAATGACATCATTAGAAGGTTGTTAACTTGTTGCAATGATGATGTAATTTCAAGCAGCTTTGCCTACTGGAATGAAAGTCATGTTAAAGAGATCTTACCTGGTGACCTGAGCCGGTTGTTTTTGTGTTGTTTCCCTCCTGTTTGATAGCGTGTCATGGAAGGAGCTGCAGGACTTGGCCAAAGACCGCAAAGACCGTTTACTCAAAGCCGAGGAGTGTCACAAGTTTTACAGAGATCTTACCGATGCCTTAGGACATATTGAGGTACATTTTAAGCATAAATAAGTGTATTTTGGATTAATTAGAAATTGCCTTGAATGTAGTAAATATGAATTTAAGCCCCCAAGCAAATAATGTAGTCAGTCATGTAAAATGGCAACTGTATATAATAGCTCAGCACCTTGCTGAGAGCTAATCTCTCTGTAAAATTATCAGTCTTGACCTACAATGTTTACTGTGCTGCTTATCCGTGTAGTGTCAGGACATTAACTTCATTTAAGGCACTGATCTGACAACCAGTCAGCTGTGTAATGATCACTGAAAAAACACCATGTAAATTCAGTGTGAGGGTAAAATTGAATTATGTTTCATGCAAATAAAAGTCACTACTGCTTAGCAAATGCATGTTGATAAGTTATTCTTGAGGTTGTATGAGTCATGCTCTGTCGGTGTTCTCTCTCTCTCTCTCTCTTTCTCTTTCTCTTTCTCTTTCTCTTTCTCTTTCTCTTTCTCTTTCTCTTTCTCTTTCTCTTTCTCTTTCTCTTTCTCTTTCTCTTTCTCTTTCTCTCTCTCTTTCTCTTTCTCTCTCTCTCTCTCTCTCTCTCTCTCTGCAACCACGACAGGAGAGGTACAAGAGCATTCCTGATGACATCGCCAGGGACCTGCGAGGGGTGCTGTTGCAGCTTCGTAAACACGAGGCTCTAGTCCACGTGCTAGCAGGGAACGAGCAGCAGGTACTGAACATAACCACAACACATCAATAGTTTACCCACAACTTTTGTCAACAAATGTTTTTGACTCACTTGAACAACAATACAATCAATGAGAATCAGTTCACCCAGAACTTTGCTATTTTTTAGCCCTGTTATACTGTAGATAGTTTAAAACTGTCACATACTCTCCCATTTTATTGAGCTACGGCTTTCTAAGCTGTGCTTTGAGGATATTTCACTCAGTGGTTACTGTAATGGAGGTGGTTTGGTGAGCCACGCCTGTGTGATAAGTAACCTTGCCTGAGACTTGCCTAGGTTTTAGCCCAGAGGGCTAACACAATCTTGTGGCGCACAGGTCGCTCAAATTACCATTCCGGCCAGTTGTGGTGGTTGCCTGCCTGTCTTCATTGTCCATCTCCTCTGAATCTTCCTATCATATGGGTTGTTCTTAGCTCCAGGAGCTGTTGGATATGGCAGACTCCACCCTGAACCTGTGCTCCCCAGAGATGAGGGTTCTCCTGCAGGAGCAGCAGCAGGAGGTGGTGGAGCACTGGGAGAAGCTGCGCCTCCACATGGACCAGAGGGAGGGAGACCTCAAACGGGCACGCCAACGCTACCTTTTCCTCAACACGGTAACTGACTTAAACTCTATAGTTACCATTAGAGACACCATTTCAGTTTGCTCTCTCTGAGCCTTTACCTGGACTAATAAGCACTGTCAATGGCGATTCTACATTGAGCGTCCTTTTTAGTCCAGAGGTAGACTTAATTTGAGTCTAGGAAATCAGCATTAAGAGTTTCCTAGTTCTTGTTACACTGATTGATTTGGATATTACATGATGTATTGTATGTTGGTTTTAACGTCAATCTATTTTGGTGTTCTAGGTCCAGGACTATGCTCTGTGGTGTGCCCAGGTGCTGAGTGGGATGACAGCGGAGGAGTCTATTAGAGACGTGGCCACCTGTGACCTGCACCTGGCCCAGCACCAGCAGCTGTGGGCTGAGATCGTGGCCCGGGAGGAGACCTACGACCAGGCAGTGGCCATGGGGCAGGAGCTGCAGGAGCAGGACAGACACAACGCCAGAGAGGTATAAATAAAAATAATGTATGCACTCACTAACTGTAAGTCGCTCTGGATAAGAGCGTCTGCTAAATGACTAAAAATGTAAAATGTATTCAATTTAATAGATCTTTATTGTCACAGAAACACAATTCAGTTGCAGCAGAATTACACACAAATTGAATACACACCCTGTATGAGCATATATATACCCTGTATTCCTATATATGTCTCAATGTTTTCTGCGCAAATATTTTCTACTGTCCCAGCATTCTGAGGCTTGAATACATACAAGATTAGAGAGTTGGAATTACATGAATGGTACCTAAATAAGCTGGCAATGTGTGGTGTCTTCCTCCTACCAGGTCCAGGATAAGCTGAGTGGTCTACAGGAGGAGAGGGACTCACTTCATGGCCACTGGGAGAGGAAACAGAGGGGCCTGGAGGGGACCCATCTGGAACAGGTCTTCTACAGGGACACAGCGAGCATGGAGAAGATCACCAACTCACAAGAGGTCAGAGGTCAAAGTTGGTCAATCAAATAATATATGCTCTGTTTCAAGACTCACATTGGCAGTGCAAGCCCCTGACGGTGCAATTTAAATCCACTTTGAGCAAAACAAATGTTTTCCTATGCTGCAGTACATGTACATGTTTTGAATGCCCCCAACTTCTTGTTTTTCCTTCCAGATCCTTCTGAAGAACAGTGATCTGGGGACGTCAGTTGATGAGACAGAGGGACTCATAAAACGCCATGAAGCCTTTGAGAAACTCCTCAGCACTCAGGAGGACAAGGTCTGAATTTCTTCAATCATCCGCTGTCCATGTCTGTGAAGTGCACAATTTTAGCTTAAAAGCGCCAACTGTTATCATTTTTGGTAATTAGTAATTTCAAGGAGATACAATTGGTAATAATTTCAAAGAGATACTGTGGTAATAATGTCAAAGAGACACTGTATGTCAAGCAGTAACACTTTATTTTTAGTAAATAGTTTAAATTCCCCCATATAAGCATATATTTTATTAAATTACACATTTATAGTCAAAAAAAAATGTATGTATCAAAATAGACATGTTTGTATGTTTTTCATGATTTGAACAGATATTTTGATCAATTTCATCCATGGCCACTTGTTATGAACATTTGTCTGTTATTCATTCAAAGTGTTGTTTTTGTGGTACTCAGAGGCTGAGAAATGTGGCGATTGAGCTAATCTGACATACCGGTACCACCTAAAATGGTCATCGATATTGGCTGTATAGGCAATATGGGCACCGGTGCCATCACACTTTTAACTAACTTTGGAACGCTATGGGCTATCAACTCCATTCCAATTGCATCTGAAAGATGATAATCACAACTTGGAAAATCAATGAATTGAAATAAATAAATTAGGCCCTAAACTATGGATTTCACTTGACTGCGTAGGGGCACAGCCATGGGTGGGACTAGGAGGGCATAGGCCCACCCACTGGGAGCCAGCCAATCAGAATTAGTTTTTCCCCACAAAAGGGCTTTATTACAGACAGAAATACTCCTCAGTTTCATCAGCTGTGGAGGTCCTGGGCTGACATGGTTACATGTGGTCTGCGGTTGTGAGGCCGGTTGGACGTACTGCCAAATTCTCTAAAACGACATTACAAGTTAACATTAAATTATCTGGCAACAGCTCTGGTGGACATTCCTGCAGTCAGCATGCCAATTGCACACTCCCTCAACTTGAGTCATCTGTGGCATGGTGTTATGTGACAAAACTGCACATTTTAGAGTGGCATTTTATTGTCCCCAGCGCAAGGTGCACCTGTGTAATGATCATGCTGTTTAATCAGCTTCTTGATATACCACACCTGTCAGGTGGATGGATGATCTTGGCAAAGGATAAATGTTAAGTAACAGGGATGTAAACAAATTTGTGCACAACATTTGAGAGAAATAAGCTTTTTGTGTATATTTCTGGGATCTTTTATTTCAGCTCATGAAACATGGGACCAACACTTTACGTGTTACGTTTATATAATATGTATTTTCAGGGTACATGCATCTACCTCTGTGACAAATTTGGTGCTTTTATCACAAAGTTTACTATTGAGTCCACATTTTCAGGCACCACTAGTATACAAAATATAGTATTTTTCATTCCTCCATATTAACACAGAAATCATGGTACATTTGTTTATTTTTGTTGGTAACAAGTTGCTTGACAAAGTCCTAATATTTCAGTAGGATCAACAACAAAAAATTTAAATTACGAAAGGTTTGATCCATTTTTGACACCGTTGGTGCTTTTAGTGTGAATATTGTCCAAATAAATAAATGAAGAACATGGTAATTTAATAATCTATGTTAAAACAAACACTGTCAAGTGTTATGTGTATATGTCTCAGCCTGTTCTCAACCACGGCACTGTCATTGCTCTTTAGATATCATTGCTGAAGGACCTTGCTGAGAGACTGAAGAAGGAAGACTTCAGTCGTGAGAAAGCCGGCCGCATCCACAGCAAGCTGAAGGCCCTCCTGGAGAGGCGAAGCAGGATTAAGGGGCTGTCAATCAAACGCAGAGAGGAGTTGGCCATCTCCAGGCTGCTCTGCATCTTCAACCGCAATGCTGCTGAGGTACTGTACAGTACCACACATCACCTGTGGTCAGACATGGGTTCAAATCAAGGGGCCAGGGTTCCGGGCCAGAAGCACACTTTTGACTGCACCTACGGTTTTGCTTCGGTACTGCAGTTTAACTGATGTCTGGCCCAGAAAGACAATTCCTATAGACGGCCCCATAGAAAAGTCACATTTGAAAATTCCTAATAAGACACTTTAGTCATCACCTTTGTGCACAAACTTTATTTAAATAATTGTAGCTGAGGCCGATTCTTTTTCCATCACTCACAGCTGAAGATAGTAACATTTTATATTCATGCTCTTGACGTCATGAGCCCAGCTAACCAGGGGAAGTGCCAGTTGGCTTGTTTAGCTGTCCACGTGCTTAGCACGCTCTGACAGAGTTCCCAGAGCATGTTCGCGCGATACTGCTGTCTGTCCAGTGTGCACTGAGTGCTAGTGCGCAGACGCAGTAAGAAAGATGTCAACAAACACGAAACGGCGTATGCGAATGTGAGTAGATTACGTTGAAAACTACGGTCGGCCATCTTGGAAGCAGTCTCTAGTTCTTTTATACGTCAATGATTCAAATGCTATTTGTTTTCTTTCAACTACTTTCAGCCTTTGATTGAGCCTGGCTGGCCTGGAATGCCAGATGGGCTTGCACTTCGAGACTAGTCCATTAGTTCCCTTGCGCCAGGAAAGCTCAATCAAGTGTAGATGGAGTATTTAGAGATAAATAATTATAGAAAATAATTACTATTTGAACCAAGGTCTGCCTGTGGTAGATGGAGCCATGTTGTCTGTCTCTGTCTTTGGTCCAGGCTGAGGAGTGGGTGTTGGAGCGTATGCAGAAGATGCAGGATGACTCCAAGGTGGACCTGAGCAACCTGCAGACCAAGATGAAGCTGCTCCAGAAACATCAAGTCTTCGAGGCAGAGATTCTCTCCCACAGCAGAATCATTGACTCAGTGCAGCTGGTATGAGCTGTTATTAAAATACACTGGGGAGGGTTTATTGTCAGGGATAACTACAGTACATAATTCAGTAACACTTAAATAATAATAATAATATGCCATTTAGCAGACGCTTTTATCCAAAGCGACTTACAGTCATGTGTGCATACATTTTTACGTATGGGTGGTCCCGGGGATCGAACCCACTACCCTGGCGTTACAAGCGCCATGCTCTACCAATTGAGCTACAGAGGACCATCCTTATAATCCTTTATAACTTCTTATAAGCATGTATGAGCCTTTATAATGTCTTGTAATAAGTCATAATATGTCATAGAGATTCATGTATCAATGTTTCAACTGATTCAAACTGACCCCTGTGCTGGCCTAGGCTGGTGAGGAGCTGGTGTCTCTGCATCACCCTAAGTCCCAGGAGGTTCGTCGTAGTGCTGCAGCTCTGGAGAAACACTGGGAGGAGCTGAAGCTAGCCGTGGCCGCCAGGGGGAAGGTTCTAGAAGACAACAGAGACTTCCTGGAGTTCCTGCAGAAGGTGGACCAGGTAGAGGTCTGGATCAGACAGAAGGTAAGAATGGACAAGAACAATCAATGAAGGAGTCCTAGAAGAGCTATGAAAAGAAGTCTCTGCACATTTGAATTAGATGCAAGTTTCAGTCTTAAATGTGCCAAGCTTCAGTCAACAACAACCTTTTGTCAGAGCATACCACCTAGAAGAGCAATGGGTGATGGAACTTTGAAGAGTAGGCAGTATGGCAGCGTGAGACTTTAGATGAGAATGCACCCACAAAACTTTGGATTCCGAGAAGAATGCATGAGCTACCACGATATCAGTGGTTATCAGCATGTCTTGCATATTGCTAATATAAAACATACATGGAAAAAAAAATATATTTCTGATGGCTTTTTATACTTTTTTTCTGGTCTTTTTCAGGAGGTGATGATAAACATAGGGGATGTTGGCACAGACTATGAGCATGGGCTCCAGCTGCTGAAGAAACTCAATGAGTTTAGAGGATCAGGCTCTGGGGTGAGTTTGTTTCTGAACGAACATAGGACATGTACAGTGCTAGCGTTTTCCAACACTGCTGGTCTTGGAACTTTGGGTGAGTTTAGTGACCCTTATCAAGAAGGAGAATTGGTCAATTATGTATTTTTGGTCACTGCTCAAGTCTTCCCATACAATTTAATTGAGTGTGTTTTTTATTTCAGGAAGTCACAGTGGACGATGCTCACATCAAGGCCATCAACAACCTGGCTGCTCGGCTGGAGAGGCAGAACAGTGACGAGCTGGCCACTGTGAAACAGCGCAGACAGCAGCTTAATGACAGGTGACACCCAACCTACTGAGAAAATTAGTTGATGATGATGACTGTGGTGATGTTTGTCCTTCAAGAGGAAAACTATTTCCACAGCTCACAGGTTCAATTGCCTTTATTCAACCAGAAAAGTTGTAATGTACACATACTGTAGTATAATTAATTTCCACTTTTTTAAATCTGCTCAAACCCATTTTCTTTTCACCACACCTTCCATCAGATGGAGTAAGTTCCATGGCAACCTGAGCAGCTATAAGAAGAAGCTGGAGGCAGCGCTGGTGATCCACTCTCTAATCAGAGAACTGGATGAAGTCCGGGAGAGAGCCAATGAGAAGGTTGGAAGGGCTTCATCTTAACCCTTCTCTATAAAACCCACTTAATATTAATAGTCTCTTATGTATGACTTACTGTAACAGATGTCATAAGAAGAGTTTCAGAGTACAGTATTTCAGAGTATACACCCTTGTTGTCTTGAAAGCATGTCCACATCATATTGTATTTAATTCCTATCTGCTGGGATTCCTATTGTAGATGCAGCTGCTGCAAGGCCAGGACTGTGGCTGGGATGTGGAGAGTGTGGAGAATCTGATACGACGCCATGAGGAGACTGAACGCGAGGCTGGAGTCATACAGGAAAGGGGCAAGGTGAGAGAAGCAATATTAAAGCATTAGACCGATCACTAAAAGCTTCAGTCATACAAAAGTTATACTTAAATCCGAACTGGTTCTCTAGCAAATTAGTAAGATTGTGTCACCCCATGTTCAAGAATGGCCTTTTTCCCTTTATTCAGATTACAACCTCTCACTTACAATTATTTGAAAAGGAAATCATCTCCCAAATATCACAAGCCATAGAAAGTTGATTGCATTTTCAATGTAATCCTCCAGAAACGACAGAACAAATAATGCAACAAATATTGTGGTTAAAATCTTCGTAAATGATATCATAGGTAGGACTGGTGGAGTTATGTCGCACCTGCAGCTAACAAAAACATATGGAAATGTCTGCTCTACCCAAAATTACAACCAAATAATTGCAGCATTACTGTAAAAATGGAAGAGGAAACTGGAAGGGGGAAAAAGTAAGGAACTTGTCTGTCAGCCCTGCATTAAAGAACATAATTGGTTAAAGAAAATTGTGATAAATAAAAAAGTATACCAGTTTCATTTAAGGACCAAAGGATTGACAGCCGTCCTATATAGATTGCAAAATAGTTGGGAAGAGATTTTTGACGTTCCGATTCCATGGCATAGTGTTTATGAACTGATACGCAAAACGACGCCGGATTCAAAACGTAGAATTTTTCAATTTAAATTATTATACAAAATTCTTACTACCAATAGAATGTTATTTATATGGGGGATACAATCTTCCCAGCTCTGCAGATTTTGCTACAAAGAGACAGAATCATTAGATCATTTGTTTTGGTACTTTCCATTTGTAGTGTGTTTTTGGTCACAGGTCCAGGAATGGCTGAAGGATTGCAATATTTACCTGGAGCTAACCCTGCAGATAGCACTACTGGGTGATCTGAAAAGTCAGTCAATCGATCAATAATCTAACAATACTTTTAGCAAAAAAAAATATTTTCAATTTACAATCTGTAGAAACAATGAGAATAGAAGGGTTCAGAACTTTTGTGAAACATCAAATCAAATTTTATTGGCCACATGCGCCGAATACAACAGGTGCAGACATTACAGTGAAATGCTTACTTACAGCCCTTAACCAACAGTGCATTTATTTTTTAATAAAAAAGTAAAATAAAACAACAACAAAAAAGTGTTGAGAAAAAAATAGCTAAAATAAAATAACAGTAGGGAGGCTATATATACAGGGGGTACCGGTGCAGAGTCAATGTGCGGGGGCACCGGCTAGTTGAGGTAGTTGAAGTAATATGTACATGTGGGTAGAGTTAAAGTGACTATGCATAAATAATAAACAAAGTAGCAGCAGGTAAAAAGATGGGGGTGGGGGTGGGGGGGCAGTGCATATAGTCCGGGTAGCCATGATTAGCTGTTCAGGAGTCTTATGGCTTAAGGGTAGAAGCTGTTGAGAAGTCTTTTGGACCTAGACTTGGCACTCCGGTACTGCTTGCCGTGCGGTAGCAGAGAGAACAGTCTATGACTAGGGTGGCTGGAGTCTTTGACAATTTTGAGGGCCTTCCTCTGACACCGCCTGGTATAGAGGTCCTGGATGGCAGGAAGCTTGGCCCCAGTGATGTACTGTGCCGTACGCACTACCCTCTGTAGTGCCTTGCGGTCGGAGGCCGAGCAGTTACCATACCAGGCGGTGATGCAACCAGTCAGGATGCTCTCGATGGTGCAGCCGTATAATTTTTTGAGGATCTGAGGACCCATGCCAAATCTTTTCAGTCTCCTGAGGGTGAATAGGCTTTGTCGTGCCCTCTTCACGACTGTCTTGGTGTGTTTGGACCATGATAGTTCGTTGGTGATGTGGACACCAAGGAACTTGAAGCTCTCAACCTGTTCCACTACAGCCCCGTCGATGAGAATGGGGGCGTGCTCAGTCCTCTTTTTTTTCCTGTAGTCCACAATCATCTCCTTTGTCTTGGTCATGTTGAGGGAGAGGTTGTTATCCTGGCACCACACGGCCAGGTCTCTGACCTCCTCCCTATAGGCTGTCTCATCGTTGTCGGTGATCAGGCCTACCACTGTTGTGTCGTCGGCAAACTTAATGATGGTGTTGGAGTCGTGCCTGGCCATGCAGTCATGGGTGAACAGGGAGTACAGGAGGGGACTGAGCACGCACCCCTGAGGGGCCCCCGTGTTGAGGATCAGTGTGGCAGATGTGTTGTTACCTACCCTTACAACCTGGGGGCGGCCCGTCAGGAAGTCCAGGATCCAGTTGCAGAGGGAGGTGTTTAGTCCCAGGATCCTTAGCTTAGTGATGAGCTTTGAGGGCACTATGGTGTTGAATGCTGAGCTGTAGTCAATGAATAGCATTCTCACGTAGGTGTTCCTCTTGTCCAGGTGGGAAAAGGGCAGTGTGGAGTGCAATAGAGATTGCATCATCTGTGGATCTGTTGGGGCGGTATGCAAATTGGAGTGGGTCTAGGGTTTCTGGGATAATGGTGTTGATGTGAACCATGACCAGCCTTTCAAAGCACTTCATGGCTACAGACGTCAGTGCCACGGGTAGGTAGTCATTTAGGCAGGTTATCTTAGTGTCCTTGGGCACGGGGACTATGGTGGTCTGCTTGAAACATGTTGGTATTACAGACTCAGTCAGGGACATGTTGAAAATGTCAGTGAAGACACTTGCCAGTTGGTCAGCACATGCTCGGAGTACACGTCCTGGTAATCCGTCTGGCCCTGCGGCCTTGTGAATGTTGACCTGCTTAAAAGTCTTACTCACATTGGCTACGGAGAGCGTGATCACATAGTCATCCGGAATAGCTGGTGCTCTCATGCATGCTTCAGTGTTGCTTGCCTCGAAGCGAGCATAGAAGTAGTTTAGCTCATCTAGAAGTCTTGTGTCACTGGGCAGCTCGCGGCTGTGCTTCCCTTTGTAGTCTGTAATAGTTTTCAAGCCCTGCCACATCCGACGAGCGTCAGAGCCGGTGTAGTACGATTCAATCTTAGTCCTGTATTGACTCTTTGCCTGTTTGATGGTTCGTCTGAGGGCATAGCGGGATTTCTTATAAGCGTCCGGGTTAGAGTCCCTGCTCCTTGAAAGCGGCAGCTCTACCCTTTAGCTCAGTGCGGATGTTGCCTGTAATCCATGGCTTCTTGTTGGGGTATGTACGTACGGTCACTGTGGGGACGACATCATCGATGCACTTATTGATGAAGCCAGTGACTGATGTGGTGTACTCCTCAATGCTATCTGAAGAATCCCGGAACATGTTCCAGTCTGTGCTAGCAAAACAGTCCTGTAGCTTAGCATCTGCGTCATCTGACCACGTTTTTATTAACCGAGTCACTGGTGCTTCCTGCTTTAGTTTTGGCCTATAAGCAGGAATCAGGAGGATAGAGTTATGGTCAGATTTGCCATATGGAGGGCGAGGGAGAGCTTTGTATACGTCTCTGTGTGTGGAGTAAAGGTGGTCTAGAGTTGTTTTTCCTCTGGTTGCACATTTAACATGCAATACAGTTGAAAAATATATGGCAAATAGAAATCCAATATGGATGGTGTTAAGAGATAGATGGGAGATGTTGAATGGAGCTGAAGGATGGGACTAATAACAACTAATAACAACAAGATAACTAATGTAAAGCAAACTGTGTCCATAATAAGTATATAGGTTATAGGTTGAGAGCTTTTGTGAAAGAGCACAGTTAGAAAGATATGGCATATAGAAGCAAACCGGATGGACATCATGAAAATGATCGGAGAGGGTAGAGGAAGTTCAGGAGTAAAAACAAACAAAATATAATTATTGTAAAATTGACTGTGTACATAAAATGTATATAGTATGAATAAGCTGGAAGTAGAGTCCTAAGCATTGTAGTTCACTAGTTTACTCCAATTAGGGAAGGGGTGGTGGGGTTGGAAAGTAATAAAGGGAAATAAAAAAATGTAAAGGGTGTGTGTGTGTGTGTGTGTGTGTGTGTGTGTGTGTGTGTGTGTGTGTATATGTATATATATATATATATATATATGTATCACAGACTGGGCTTTCAGTCAATGTAATTGTCTGCATCACTTCCAATCCCCCATATCCCCCCCCCCCCCCCACCTGATACACTGTAATGCGTTTTAGAGTGAAACAGAAAATTGAACTGAATTGAATATCTGAAAGACCAACTAATTGCATCCTGATCTTGTGTTGATTTGCCAGGCACTGGAAAAGGACACCGCTGACCGCCTGAAAGCCCAGTCTGTGATGGCCGACAAACTGAGCAAAAAGCAGAAAGAGGTCAAAACCGGCCTTGTGAAGCTGGAGAAGGACGTTAAACTCAGGTGTTGCAAATAATAACTGAAATATCCTGAAAAGATGTACCCCTTCCCAACGTGATACACTACATGACCAAAAGTATGTGGACACCTGCTCGTCGAACATCCCATTCCAAAATCATGGCCATTAATATGGAGTTGGTTCCCCTTTTGCTGCTATAACAGCCTCCACTCTTCTGGGAAGGCTTTCCACAAGATGTTGGAACATTGCTGCAGGGACTTGCTTCCATTCAGCCGCAAGAGCATTAGTGAGGTCGGGCACTGTTGTTGGGCAATTAGGCCTGGCTTGCAGTTGGCGTTCCAATACATCTCAAAGGTGTTCAGTGGGGTTGAGGTCAGGGCTCTGTGCAGGCCAGTCAAGTTCTTCCACACTGATCTCAACAAACCATTTCTGTATGGACCTCGCTTTGTGCACTGGGGCATTGTCATGCTGAAACAGGAAAGGGCCTTCCCCAAACTGTTGCCACAAAGTTGGAAGCACAGAATCGTCTAGAATATCATTGTATGCTGTAGGGTTAAGATTTCCCTTCACTGGAACTAAGGGGCCTAGCCCGAACCATGAAAAACAGCCCCAGACCATTTAACCTCCTCCACCAAACTTTACAGTTGGCACTATGCATTGGGGCAGGTAGCATTCTCTTGGCATCCGCCAAACCCAGATTCGTCCGTCGGACTGCCAGATGGAGAAGCATGATTCATCACTCCAGAGAACGTGTTTCCACTGCTCCAGAGTCCAATGGAGGTGAGCTTTACACCGCTCCAGCCGATGCTTGGTATTGCACATGGTGATCTTAGGCTTGTGCTCGGCCATGGAAAACCATTTCATGAAGCTCCCGACGAACAGTTCTTGTGCTGACATTGCTTCCAGAGGCAGTTTGAAACTCGTTAGTGAGTGTTGCAACCGAGGACAGACGATTTTTACGCGTTACGCGCTTCAGCACTCGGCAGTCCTGTTCTGTGAACTTGTGGGGCCTACCACTTCGCGGCTGAGCCATTGTTGCTCCTAGACATTTCCACTTCACAATAACAGCACTTACAGTTGACCGGGGCAGCTCTAGCAGGGCAGAAATTTGACGAACTGACTTGTTGGAAAGGTGGCATCCTATGACGGTACCACGTTGAAAGTCACTGAGCTCTTCAGTAAGGCCATTCTACTGCCAATGTTTGTCTATGGAGATTGCATGGCTGTGTGCTCGATTTTATAAACCTGTCAGCAACGGTTGTGGCTGAAATCGCCGAATCGACTAATTTGAAGGGGTGTCCACATGCTTTTGTATATATAGTGTACTTTGATCTTGCAAAACCGACACAATGGAATCATTATTCAAGTCATTATGACAGTATAGATGTGTGTGCGCTGAGAGGACACCATATACTTCCTTCTTGCATTATTATGGGTTTTGGGGAAGCTGCAGAGAGACTAACAGGAAGTGATGTTACAGGAAGGAGAGGCTGCAGGAGGCTCACCAGCTGCAGCTTTTCAAGGCTAACCAGCGCCTCCTACTGGACTGGACCCTGAAGCAGAGCTCTGAGATGGGAGAGAAAGGCCTGCCCAAGAGCAAGAACGAGGCAGAGCGATTCATAGTAGAACATCAAGACTGGAAGGTGACTAATGATTATGATATTCAAGTTAATATTTTGATGGCTATCTTTCTAGGTCACCCTAGGAAAATAGGTTTTCAACCTTGTGACGTTAAATAAAGGACAACAAAATCCCCCCCAAATTTCAACCTCCTATAAGACCCAGTAAAATTGCAAACTTAAGTATCCGGAAGAGATTAAATGTGTTTATGTGTTCTAGACTGAGATTGATGCACGGGGGGAGCGTATCGACTCTGTTAGAGACTTTGGCCTGAGTCTGGTAAAGTCTGGACACAGCTCATCATCAGAGATCAAGAAGTCTCTGACCAAGCTGGAAGAGGCCAAAATGGGTCTGAGCCAGACCTGGCAGGACAGGAAGAAGACTCTGGATCAGGCTCTAGGCCTACAGGTAACCCTAACTTGGAGACATTTGTACTATTCATGTTGTGAATGTAGCTCATCTAACATTAGGCATGTTTTCCTGCTTATTTATTTTTTATTGCCAGTCAACGTACCTAATAAAATAAGGGTCAAATGAATAACAAAAGTTACCTAAATCTCGTTTTCATTTCAGATATTCCTTGGCTACATGGATCAGAGTGAGAGCTGGTTGAGTAACAAGGAGGCCTTTCTGGCTAATGAAGACCTTGGGGTGGGAACTCAATGCATTTGCTCATAAATTGTGTGTGAAGAATTTATGTAGGCCTTTTAAAGGACTTATGAAGGCTTCATTAAGCCTTTATCAGATATGTGTTGTTTAAATTGGGACGTTGATTGGTTATTGCAGAGTTCTCTATCTGACGTGGAGACCCTACAGAGAAAGCAAGCCCTGTTTGAGAACACCCTGGATGCTCAGATGGAGCAGGTGGAAGGAGTGGAGCGGTTCGCCCAACAGCTGATCCAGCAGAAACACTTTGACTCAGACAATATCAAGAGCAAGAGCAAGTCTGTGCTGCTCAGGTAGAAGCCAGCAATGAACTAAGTGCCAAATATTTCCCTGTTTTCAAAGACTGTCTATATACAAAGAGATTGTTTGGTGTATGAAATGATTTATTCTGCCTTTGTGTGCTATACCTGACTCAAAAACTATGCCTCTCTCCAGAAAAGGAAAACTGTTGGAAATGAGTAAGGTTCGCCGGAAGGCTCTGGAAGAATCTCTACAACTCCAGAAGTTCCTGGGTAGCAGCTATGAGGTATGAGAAGTTGGGTCTGCTTGATGAGTCCGCTTTAACCAACTCAATGTTAGTGTGGGTCTATGAGGCTGGTATGCAAGACTAAAACATAAGTATACCCCTGAGTCAATACTTTGTAGAAGCACCTTTGGCGGCGATTACAGCTTTGAGTCATCTTGGGTATGTCTGTATCAGCTTTGCACTTCTGGATTTGGGGATTTTCGCCCATTCTTCCCTGTAGCTTTTCTCAAGTTCTGTTAAATTAGATTGGGAGTGGCAGTGAACAGCAATCTTCAAGTCTTTCCACAGATGTTCAATGGGATTCATGTCAAGGATTTTCACATTCTCGTTCTGAAGCCATCCCAGCGTTGCTTTGGCTGTAAGCTTGGGGTCATTGTCCTGTTGGAACGTAAATCTTTGTCCCAGTCTAAGGTTGTTTGCACTATGAAGCAGGTTCTCATCAAGGATTTGCCTGTATTCATTGTTCCCTCTATCCTTTCCTGTCTTCCAGTCCCTGCCGCTGAAAAGCGTCCCCATAGCATGATGCTGCCACCACCATGCTTCATGGTAGGGATGGTGTTCGATGGGTGATGAGCTGTGCCTGGTTCTCCAGACATAGCGCTTTGCAATCAGGCCAAAGAGTTAACTTTTTGTCTCATCATACCACAGAATCTTTTGCCTTGTTATCTCAGAGTCTTTCACATGCCTTTTTGCAAACTCCAGGCGTGCTGGCATGTGCCTTTTTCTCAGGAGTGGCTTCCGTCTGGCCACTCTTCTATAAAGTCCAGATTGATGAAGTGCTGTAGAGACTGTTGTCCTTCTGGCAGGTTCTCCCATCTCAGCCAAGGAACTCTGTAGTTCTGTCAGAGTGTTCATTGGGTTCTTGGTCATCTCCCTGACCAAGGTCTTTCTTTCCCGGTTGCTCAGTTTGGTCGGACGGCCAGCTCTAGTCAGTGTCTGGGTAGTTCTATATTTTTTCAATTTCCCAATGATGGAGACCACTGTGCTCTTGGAAACTTTCAACACTCTAGAAATGGTTTTATATCCTTCCCCAGATATATGCCTCATTACAATTCTATCTCGGAGATCTACGGACAGGTTCTTGGACTTCATGGTATAGTTTCTGCTCTGACATGCACTGTCAACTGTGGAACCTTATAAAGACAGGTGTGTGTCTTTCTAAATCATGTCCAAACAATTTAATTGGCCACAGGTGGACTCCAATCAAGTGGTAGTGACATCTCAAGGATGATCAAAGTAAATTGGATGCTTAATTTGAAGATTCATAGCAACGGTGTGTGTGAATACTTATGTAAATGAGATATTTCTGTATTTCATTTTCAATAAACTTGCCAACATTTCTAAAAACATGTTTTCACTTTGTCGTTATGGGGTATTGTGTGTAGATGGGTGAGAAAACAAATCTATTTAATCAATTTTGAATTCCGGCTGTAACACAAAATGTGGAGTAAGTCAAGTGGTATGAATACTTTCTGAAGGCACTGTAAGTAATGTGTAATAACTTGAACCTGTAAAGTAATGTCTGATAACTGAAACCTGTAAAGTAATGTGTGATAACTGAAACCTGCAGGTGTGCTCGTGGCTCAATGAGAGGAATGCAGTGGCCCTGGATGAAAGCTGGAGAGACCCCATCAACCTCCAGGCCAAACTACTGAAACACCAGAGCTTTGAGGCTGAGATCTTAGCGAACCGTAACCGAGTTGACGCTCTTACTAAGGTATGTGTGAGTCTGAAGAAGTGCTTTCAATGCACATTAATCACAGAGTAGTATCTCAGTACTTTCCTATTGCTTATGGCAGCTCAATACACATTAAGATATAATAACATAGCTCTCTGTCCTTCATAGAATCTGCAATGTCCTCTGTTCTGAGACCAGTGTCTCGGCAGATGTTATTCACAGTACAGTTAAAGTTAGCCGTGACTGGTCTAGGCAAGTGTTATTGAGTCAATGTTCACCCACAGGAGGGAGAGAGAATGATAGCAGCGGGTCACTCCACTCCTGGGAAGATCAAACCGTGGCTGAAGGATCTTAACCATGGCTGGGACCAGCTCCTCAACAACTGTAAAGAGAAGAAATCTCGTCTGCAGCAGGCCTACCAGGTATTTGCACATTATAGACATATTGTACTCATCTTTGATGATAGATACAGTAGATGATACTATGAAAAAGAGAATGTAACTTTAATGACATAATAAAATCAAATTGTATTTGTCACCTACACATACGCTATATATATAAAAGTATGTGGACACTCCTTCAAATTAGTGGATTCGGCTATTTCAGCCACAACCGCCATTGCTGACAAGTGTATAAAATGGTGCACACAGCCATGCAATCTCCATAGACAAACATTTGCAGTAGAATGGCCTTACTGAAGAGCTAAGTGACTTTCAACGTGGCACTGTCATAGGATGTCACCTTTCGAACAAGTCAGTTTGTGGAAGTTCTGCCCTGCTAGAGCTGCCCCGGTCAACTGTAAGTGCTGTTATTGTGAAGTGGAAACATCTAGGAGCAACAACGGCTCAGCTGCGAAGTGGTAGGCCATACAAGCTCACAGTACAGGACCGCCATGTGCTGAAGCGCGTATTGCGTAAAAATCGTCTGTCCTCGGTTGCAACACTCACTACCGAGTTCCCAAACTGCCTCTGGAAACAATGTCAGCACAAAAACTGTTTGTCGAGAGCTTAATGAAATGGGTTTCCATGGCCGAACACAAGCCTAAGATCACCATGTGCAATGACAAGCGTCGGCTGGAGTGGTGTAAAGCTCGCCGCCATTGTACTCTGGAGCAGTGGAATCGCGTTCTCTGGCGTGATGAATCACGCTCACCATCTGGCAGTCCGACGGACGAATCTGGGTTTGGCGGATGTCAGGAGAACGCTACCAACTGCAAGCCAGGCCTAATCGCCCAACATCAGTGCCCGACCTCACTAATGCTCTTGTGGCTGAATGGAAGCAAGTACCCGCAGCTATGTTCCAACATCTAGTAGAAAGCCTTCCCAGAAGAGTGGAGGCTGTTATAGCAGCAAAGGGGGGACCAACTCCATGTTAATGTCCATGATTTTGGAATGAGATGTTCGACGAGCAGGTGTCCACATACTTTTGGTCATGTAGTATATTTGCAGAGACAACATCCCCTCCAGGTAAAATAATAAAGCATTCTGCTTTAAAGGCCCAATGCAGCTGTTTTTGTCTCAATATCAAATCATTTCTGGGTAACAATTAAGTACCTTACTTTTATAGCTTTCCATTAAAATGGTCAACAAAAAAAAAAAAATTTGCTTTTTAACAAAAAATTATAAAGCAAGAATTTAGCTAGGATTGTCTGGGAGTGGTCTGAGTTGGAAGGGGGAGTGAAATGTAATCAGAAAACTGGCTGTTATTGGCAGAGATGTTTGGAACTCTCTTTGTTATTGGTCTATATTAACTTATACCGCCTGCTGATGTCACGAGGCAAGCCAAAACTGCACCCATGCAAAACCTGCTGAATAGAAGGTCTTGTGTAGATTGTACCAGCAACTATCAGGAAATAACACTGATCAAATGCATTCACACTTTTACAGTGTTAGTTTCATCAGCTGTTGTACAATATGATATAAAACACAGGAAAAACAACATTTTGACTGCTCTTGGCCTTTAAGTAAAGTATTAGGCTATAATTCTTCTATAACTTTGTTATTTTCTACCACCAGGCTTTACAGTTCCAGCGTTCTCTGGACGACATAGAGGAGTGGCTTAGGTCCGTAGAAGTTGAAGTAACCAACGAGGACTGTGGCACTGACCTCCCGTCAGTCAGCAGGCTGCTGAAGGCTCTACAGGGCCTGGAGGAGGTGGTGGATGGCTATCTGGAGAGGGTCCAGGGCTTAGTGGATACAGCCAAGGACTTCAGCTCCAAGGGCAACTTCCTGGCCCAGGAGATCCAGCAACGAGTAGGCCAAACTGTCAATAGGTAAGTTTTTTTTTTTTGTCGAAGATATATAAATAATACTGGCAAAGCATATTATGTCTGATTCTCCCCAACTACATTTAAATATTAGTCAGCGTACGAGACAGATTAATAAAACACACATTTTATTACCATGCAACAGAGTACACACACACCAATACAGCATGGCTGTGAGAGTGCGCTTGTGAAAGGAATTGTAAGGGTTTTGCGCAGCCCCGCCCCTCACACTTTTTTTCATGGTCCTTCGAGACGGATTTTAAACAACTTTCGTTATTGCAGATATAACAGCCTGGCTGAGCCATTGCAGAACCGACGGGAGACCTTAGAATCCTGGCAGCTGTTGTTCCAGTTCTACCGTGACATGGAGGATGAGCTGGTCTGGGTCCAGGACAAACTGCCCTCTGCCTCCTCCAAAGACTGGGGAACCTCCCTACAGAGCACTCAGTCTATGGTCAAAAAACATCAGGTCAGAGGCAGCGATGGTCAATGTACCAGTTTGCATTTAAGATACTAACAACAAGGTTGTTCTTGGGTTTCTGTCAAGAACTTAGTGAGAAATGTATTTGTAAAAAGTGTTATACATGTAAGATTTGATTGATTGGTTGGTTGATTGATTGAACCTCTGTGTGTGCAGGCTGTGGTGCAAGAGATAGCGAGCCGTACCCCTCTGGTGCAGGCTGTCCAGGACGCAGGGCAGAACCTGGTGAGGGGCAGACACTTTGCCTCGCATGAGATCAGCGAGAAGCTGGCTGAGCTCAAGAAGATTTTTGAGAGCCTGAGGAGAGAGTCAGAGAACAAGGGCCAACTGCTGCAGGAGGCTCTGAAGATACAGACCTTCCTCTCTGAGGTAGATAACTGTGACCACTGACCATACTCTCCATACATTCTCTTTTGACACGCTCTTTGGACACAAACACAGGTTCCACAATCCACAAAAACTCTCTCAATACATCTTTCTACACAACTTTCTACAGTGAGGTAATTTTATTTTCCACCCAAATATGATGCCCACTGAAGAACCTTTATAAGCTTACATTTCTCTTTAGGTTTCAGAACTAGAGCTGTGGATAGATGAGCAGAGACCCACGTTAGAGTCCAAAGACTTTGGGAAGAGCGAGGAGGCCACCGAGGTCTTCCTGAGGAAGCTGGACTCTATAGACCTGGACCTGGAGAACCAGCAGCTGAAAGTAGAGTCTCTTCAGGAGACTGGCGCTAAACTGGAGCACTGTGGCCACCCCAACAGGTACAGTATACAAACCTTACAGTATGTATATTATTCACTTTATCTGTTATCATTGTCAGGAATTAAGATATGTGATCTCACAGATATTTACAGGGACTAACTACAGTATATTAATATTCTATATTCACATATTTAACTATATTCACATATTTTAAATATGTACATTTAGTGATTCTAAATCCATTTTCTTTATTACTTAATGTTTGTCTCTCCTTCAAATGTTCTAAGCCCATTGACATGATGACATTTCTCTCACACTACATCAGCCATTTAGTGAGTAAGAGTCTTCCAGACATGCTGGATGAGTATGAGAGTCTTCTGCGTCTCTCTGCCTCACGACGGGCAGCTCTGGAGGACCAGCTGAACCTCTATGTGTTTGAGAGAGAGGCCCGGGAGCTGCAGAACTGGCTGTGCTCCCGCAAGACCCTGGCTGAGTCAGAAGACTTTGGACAAGACCTGGAGGACGTGGAGGTATAGATGCAGAGTGGACTATTCCATTGGTTCCATTATACAGGGCAAATTAGGTGCAGCTCAAGTATTTGAAAGTTTTGACCCATGTCTTGGAGGATGGGAATAGGGCCAATACGGATAAGCCAAGTACTGGACAGTTGTTGGGTGTATGTATCGTTTATATATTGCTGTAGCTGAAAACAAGCTTTGTGAGATTACAGTCTTGGTAAAGTACTGTAATCAGACAAGTAATGATCGATATCTAATGCATTTTAGTTTAGAGGCAGGCCGCAATTTTCTTAATAAAGTCACTTTCTTCCAGGTGTTGCAGAAGAAGTTTGAAGACTTTGTGGCTGAGGTTAACACGCTGGGCCAGAGTAAACTCAGCACTGTTCAACAACTACGACAGGAGGTGAAATCTGCTGAAGGCCACAGACGAGAGGCAGCGCTGCACAAATTATGGGATGACCTCAACCAAAATGTGAAGATTAGAGCGGAGGTAAAAGTCTAAGTCCAGTTCTTCTATCAATAATATTATAAGTAGCTGCTTAAGTGGGAGATTAAACGATAGGGAAGAAAGGTCATGTCTGCTCACAATTCTATAGTGGCCCTATTTTCTTGTCCAGCTCCTGTACCAAGCTTGATGTGCGTTAAACACTCTCCTTCTGAGTATTATTTATATATTACTGTGGGTAATTGACCTGAGCCATGGTGATATAACAGCCATTTTGTGTGACAGAACCTGAAGTCTGCCCGAGAGGTGCACCAGTTTGACCATGACGTGGACGAGCTGAAGGGTTGGATGAGTGAGAAGGAGGTGGTGTTGGACTCTGACGACCACGATCATGATCTACTCAGTATCCAGGCACTCATCAGACAACATGAAGGACTGGAGGTACAGTACACAACCAAAGTTTATTTAACATGTTTGATTGAAATGGGAGCAGAGCAGTTTCATTGAGGCAGACTCCAAAGATTCACAATTTCATTAGCCACCCAAGACCTGATGACTTGCTTTAGCTCCCTAAACTAATGCCTTTAACTCAGTGGGCTAACGGCTGGTTACACTAACTCACCCATCAAATAACTGTGTTTGTTTCCAGAGAGACTTGGCGGTCATCGAGGGGGAGGTGTCTCGGACTAAAGAGGAGGGGCGGGGCCTAAACAGGAAGTACCCCCAGGTGCGGGCCAGTCTGAGTGAGAGACTACAGGAAGTGGAGGAGAGCTGGGCTAGTCTGCAGGCCAAGGCCATCCAACGCAGGAAGAGACTGGGGCAGGCTGAGGCTGTGCAGAGATACCTCACAGAGTGGACTGAACTCATGTAGGTCTACTTCTTTTCATTTCATGTAGTTAGGATTGATAAGATAACACAATGTCACCCAATTCTATAATGTCACATTTTATGATGTGCTTATAGATGTGTAATGCATGCTTTATGAACGTATAATTATTGAGGTGTGCCTGACCTGGATCTAATTTGAACATTTTAAAGTAAATTGAAGTGCTATTATGTTTTGAATCATGAGGTTATTTTATTTTCCCCTGTATTGCCCAGGGCATGGCTGAAAGAGACCCTGTCCCTGGTGAGAGGGGAGGGGTCAGGAGGGGAGGGTGCTGACCTGGAGCAGCTAATCAAAAGACACGAAGAGTACCATGTTCAGATTGACAAGCAGCTCAACAAATCACAGGCTGTGAAAGATGAGGGCAAATACCTCGTGGAGGAAGGCAACTTCATGTGCCAAGAGGTAGTAGCACAGTACTTAACAGTTTAGACATAATGTCAAAGCAACCTAAACATCAATGTAATGGCAAGATACAGAAATGTGACATTTCTCTTTAAGTTTTGCATTTTTTGCATTCTTTTAAGCATTATTGTCATCTTGTTTCTATTATTATGTAATGTGTCACAATGTTAAATGTTGTTATAGGAACATTTGAATAAAGCTATTTTCATTCATGGCTATCTATTGCTGCCAAATTGCAGTTGGAGGAGCGTCTTCTGGAGCTGCAGGAGCTGGAGACGCGGGTGCAGGAGGTTTGGGAGGAGAGGAGGGTGTTGTACCAGGAGGAACTGGAGATCCTACAGCTACAGAGGGAGCTGGAGCAGGCGGAGCACTGGCTCAGTACCTACGAAGCTACTCTGAGGGCAGAGGAGTACGGGGTGAGTCTTTTAAGTGGAGGACAGCCCAGTTAAAAGCAAGCCTAGGCGTTAACACAGTATTGTGGCGCGCAGGAGACCTGGGTTTGAACCTAGTCACTTACATAAGTCATCATGCTTTCTGATAATAGTATGAAATAGTTAATATTTTCTTGAATTAAAGATTTTTCATGTTACTGGTTATTGGTTTTAGTGCTATGTATTTTTCTTTTCGACCCACTAAGTGAAAGTTGGTTAAGATGCTCAGTGATGTCTCTTCTCCTTCCCAGGACTCTGTGTCAGACGTTCTGGAGTTGATGAAGAAACAGGAGGACTTGGAGGCTATGATTCAAGCCCAGAGTGACCGATTCAGTGCCTTACAGAAGAAGAAAACACAGGTGAGTGAGAGATGAGAGGACGCTGTTCACCTTTCCTGACAACTGATGTTATGGCTGTCGAATTTTGGCTAACTCCATTAAACTACACAATTCCTTTTGGTCTTCTTTGAACAATGATAACCCAAAAGATGGCTTTGGCATGGATACAGTAGATTACTCTCACACATTATGTTTTATTATATATTTTTTAGAGAGAGCAAAGATTACAAGGCCTCCATGGTGATGATGGAGACAATTCCAGGAAGAAGCTTTCCAGGGTGACCTCCCTGAAGAGGAAACCGTCTGACCCTAAGACCCCCCGACCCACCGCCCCTAAACCCCTAAAACCCACAGACCGGGTCCGCAGAACCAGCACCAGCAAGACACCAGATCCAGCTCCATCGCCCTCCTCATCCATCTCCAGTAGCCCCCCTCCCAGCCCCGCCCCTAGGGCCCTGACCACCCAGAACCCTGCCTTTGTGGCCCCCTCTAGATCCCCACGCTTCGCCCCTCCAGTCAACCCTCCTCCATCCCCTCCATCCTCTCCCACTACAGAGACCAGTAGCCACTCTCGCTACAGATCCCATAGATTGTCAGTGAAGGAAGAAGAGTTGCCTCCCACAGATAGACCATCTATCACCCCCAAGCCAAGGCTCTCCCTCAGAGAGAGGAAGTTAGCCAGGCATGAGGAGCTGGCCCCAGAAACACCTGTGTCGGCCCCATCGCCGACCTCACCGGAACCAGCCTCAAATGTATCGCCCCCACTCTCACCTGTATCGGCACCTGTCCCCTCTGAACATCCTGAGCAGCCAGATAACGAACCCACCACACCCCCTGAACTCCCTCCCCCCTGCAGAGACCTGCCCCCTTCCCCTGTACTGCTACACCACAGGAAACTAGAGGACCTACCAGAGGAGGTGGCTACGCTGTCAGACTCAATATCTGATGTGAGATCAGATCACTAATTAACAAACTACCCTCTGAGTCTGAGTGGATACCACGTTTATTTACGTTTTACACTATGTCTACTGTTATCCATCTTGAGAACTGTGTTGTTTACATCTTTATAGGTCAGAGGTCAAGTGCCTGTCAGAATGGATGGGATGTTGGAGATCAAGGTGAAACAAAGCGGAAACAAAGTAAGACCATGTTTTACTTTATCAATGTAGAGGACCGAAACATTCTGACCTAAAACAATTGTTGATGCTAGGTCATCTCCAGTGTTTTAATGATCAAATCATTAATTATTTACAATTAGATAAAGCTGTAAAACCATGAAACTGTATTGGTTTGCAGGGTTTGGAGAACTGGGATGCTGTCTATGCAGTACTGGAGAGGGAGACACTCAATCTTTTCAAAGACAGAGATGCAGCTACAGAGGTACTGCTTATTCATCAAGTCTACAGAAAAAGATTTTAAAGTTAAATTCACAGGTACTTTTAGAGAAAACAATGACTTTTGAGAGTACAGTATGTCACTGCTTTTTTACAGAGGTCTTCCCTATGGCCCCCCATCAATATGGTTGGAGCAGTGTGTAAGGAAAACCCATACTATAGGAGAAAGGACCATACCTTCAAACTAACGTGAGCCTTTCACATTACTGAAAGATAATCGATGCTTAAAGTAGCAAATCAAGCTATATCTAAGTACTGTATAAAACATGCCATGTTAGAAGTTTGAGGACCTTGTAATAAAGTATACAAAGACTGCTCCTCTGACAAAATGTAAATGTATGTGACTGTCTGTTCTGCTGTCTGTGTATGTCCTTCAGTCTGGATGATGGAAGTCAGTACCTGTTTGCTGCCTCTAGCCGAGAGCAGCAGCTCAAATGGGTAGAGGAACTTCAGAACTGCACCAAGTCTGAAAGCTCCTCTGACTCTGAGGATTCTGGGTAAGTCAACTGTCAAACAGAAGGTGCCATTCCTTAAAACTTTGTTATTATAAATTAATAGCACATCTTTTACCAGTGCCTAAACCAAATAGTTTGCCAAATAAAGTATTTATTTGAATCCTGGTGTTTTTGAGTAATGATCTCGTTATAAAATTGAGTAAATACAGTATCTTGCTGTTTGAATAATTTGCCAATTCCCATTTTGTTCAGGAACTCCTCAAAGGACACAGTAGATCACCAGAACTCCAAACAGGTCGACATCAATGATGCTTCTGAGAACAAAGGGTTTCTCAGAGTTGGCTCCAGAGAAAGTGTTGTCTGCAATGAACGTTTTGAGAGCGATAGAGGGCCACCACCAAAGCCCCCCCATACATATTACAACAAGCACCACTACCCTTCAGGAGGGGAGACCAAAGATGAAGGTGAGACTGTACACATGCATTAGTTTCCCATAACTTGAAATATTACAAAAACAACCATTTTGAAACTGAAATAAATTCCAGGTGAGACTATGCATTTGTTTCCCTCAATTTGACTCATTACACAATGGTTACAAACAACAATTTTGGTACAGAAAGAAATTCCAGATCTTCACTACATTTTTTGGCATGTTAACATTGTATTATTATTAATAAATCCTTACAAAATACTCTGAAATACTTTGAGGCCTCTCATAACATAATGTGCTGTCTTGTTCCAGGAACTGTAATAACCCAGAGCCTGAGTTCCCTACAGAGGAACCATCCCCCCACCACCCAACCTCCTCTACCTCCACAAAGCCTCAATGACCCTGAGCCCAAAGACAAACCCAAGAACAAGAGTGTCTTCAAGAAGCTCTTTGGAAAGTGATTTGTGATATTTCCTGTGTTATTAGAATAGTCATCTTAACAATTGATATCTTAATATTACCTTTACAATGTTCAAATCAAATGGCACAATCTTTATGTTGTAAACCATTAGCATTGGTTTATGATATGTTAGCAACAATTTATATGTTACTTTTCTCCTTGTGTTGATCTACTCAAGACTGCTGCATGCTCATGAGATTTTATGCCAGTGCCTATTTAAAAAGCGAATTTATTTATTCCATAGCAATAATTACATTCAGTTGGCCTATTTCATTTTACACAACATTTCAATTCACAATAATTTACGAATCACCACATTTGGTAATTAAACTAATATATCTGGTGTAGAAACATACAGATAGATAATCCTTACCTTGCTCAAACGAAGTTTTGCTTTAATTATGCATTATGTCAATGACAGATTTGCCAATATTAGAATTATACATGTGTATTTTAAGTAAATATGTGGCCGATATTTAATTTTATGGATTAAAGGCCGCCAATCTTGTTGAGAAATAGTACATGATATGAAGTTAATTCTTATCTTTAAATATTTTAGTCAGTCCAACGAAATGAGAGGACTTTTTCAAAAGATAGTATAATTTTTGCAATTCATTTTCATGCCATAATTTAATGGCAGTGTGATTAGGATGGATGTACTTTCACCACTTCTACTTTATACATTTTGCAAAAGGCATTCGGATTTCAATTATTTTCGATAGACTTCAACCAAGAATAAACTAAATGACTTATTTCAGATTGAGCATGTGTTAGTATAATAAAAGCTTGCATTCAGATAAAATTAGGGGACAATTTTTCTCATCCAATATTCCACATTTATTATGCTTTTTTATGTTGGCTAGTAGCCTAATATATTTCACTTTTGATCATCTGATTAAACGGTTATGTATGTTTTGCAGATTCTGTAAAAATACATGTATTTGTTGAACATTTTTAATTTCGCTGGAATTGAGAAATGCGTAAAGAATTAGACTACAACATACAACCATACAAGAAGTGTCAGCAAAGTACATGCCACAAACGACTGACCTTTCAGCATTTTCTATCCTAGGCCTTACCTTCTTGAATCAGCAACATTTACTACCGCTTGATGGCGTCAGAGACAATGAAGCAACAAGACCGTCTATTCCTCAAGTCTATTCCTTGCAGTTCAAAAGTTAATTCGAGATGTTGCCATTGATTTAACATCTTGAGTGTTGTCTATTTGTGATTGTTGCATTTAACTTGTTAAACAATTTGGGTAATGCGCCATGATATTTCAGGTCATGCGTTTGATCACCCATTTGTTGTCGTTAGGCTAGACGTGTTGGTAGAATAAAGGAATGAAGGGATTTCATTTGTGGGTTCTTTTTTTGTCTCAAACACAATGATTGTAATGTATAGAGGTTATGGGCAAGAATTTATTTTGGTAATTTATTTTTGGATCATTTCTGTGCAGTAGTTAGTATTTATAGTAGGATTAATTATTACGTTTACATTAGTTTGAGGTTTTCCAGTAGGCCTAATTAAAGGACATCATGTTTTGAACTCGATGACCTTATATTTGAATTGTAATCGAAAAAAAAAAACAGCCCAATTGTATAGTAGTAATAATACATTTTTAAAAGAATACATTACATTTTAAACGAAACAATAGGCTACATTTTCAACAATTTAAGACTTTAGAAGGCCTATAGGTAGATTCTTTAGAAATCATTCATAAGCAAATGTCATGCTCTACCATGTTACAGGGTGGAACATTTACATTAACATTTTAGTCATTTAGCAGACGCTCTTATCCAGAGCGACTTACAGTTAGTGAGTGCATACATTTTCATACTGGCCCCCCGTGGGAATCGAACCCACAACCCTGGCGTTGCAAGTGCCATGCTCTACCAACTGAGCTACACGGGGCCCAAAATGGCTTATTTGTCAAAGCCCCAGATGTAGCCCTACAAATTCTATTGAATACTAACACAGAATATATGTGCCTGTATTTCCTGTTCTACAAAATCACATAATTCGGCTTGCTTGCAAAACATTTCATTGTTAACTATATGTTGGTAACCCCAAGCCTATAGAATTGTCTTCATTCAATAGGTTATTAGATCAAGAGCCACTCCATAGTTGTTATTCGGATCACGCGCCTCCCAAAGCAGCTGCACCTTTATTTAACCAGGTAGGCCAGTTGAGAACAAGTAATGAATCACCACACAGCTCAAAGATTTAACAATGTTGGTCTCGGCCAGCACAATCAGTAAAATCAATCGGAAATACATTATTCTGTAGAAACTAATTTTAAAACTCCAAAGAATAGGATATTTCCCAAAATTACAAGCTTGTAAAAGGGACAAATATCTCATCCTCAATTTTTTGTTATGTTTCTAATTAGTTCAATATACCTGTACACGATAGTAAATTAAAACTCCCTGTTGTGTATGAAAATTGGCTTGATATTCACCGTTACCCCACATCTTTACGATTTATTGCAGGAGAAACATATATGCCACACACATACCCAATTAAGCCTGGCTAAATTAGGCTCCCACTCCTTGATTAACCAATAAATTCATAATATAGCCGACTGTACATTTCGGGAAAACGAAAGGCAAATAGTCTCTATTCACCTTTTGCAGTATGGTTAAATCCACACATTACTACGGAACATGACGGCTCAAAATACAGTAGACTTGTCTGTTATATAGTCATACAGATTTACAATACCGTAACACCGCAGCACCTCTAAACGAGAAACAGCATTGTAAAGGTTGCCGTTAGGTTAGGTCCATCCAAAAAATGAATCCACAACCCGACCAATTTGATAATCAAATGTATGAACAAATAAAAATATCGAATAATGATTTATTACTATTTATCAAGGTTTATAAATAAATATAAACGGTTAGCTGTGACAACAGTTGTATACATACTTTATCTCCATACCTCAATTAACATATGCTTCTAAGTTGCTTATAAACTGCAGGGTGAACTTGTTTAAATTTTATAACATTATAACACATGCAGACAATAGTTTTTTTTAAAAGTCCCGATCAAACATTTCATTTTCACTGAATCAATTTAATCAAAATTCCTTTCTCCAATTGACTCAGTCATATTCCCTCTCTGCAATACGCCTGCTTTTTAAACCAGCAGACCTTCTCTCCTATACCGCTAGGGGGCTCTCTGCTCTCACAGATGTGCGCCAGTCTCCATCAGTTTTATAACGAAGCTTTGCAGTCTGTCTGCTTCCCTATCGTCTTATTTCCACACAACACTATTTATTTGTGCCCTAAAGTGAATAATAATGTGTTCACATCAACGGCGTGTTTATAAATGTTTTTGCATGAAACATAACGTGGTTGGAATTATTGATAGAATTCTACTTTTATGGCTGTAATTTTGTTCTAAATCAGAAATGGGCAACTTTGGGGGCCACAAAAAAACACACACACAGTCAGGGCCGGCCCTAGACTTTTGGGGGCCCTAAACCACATTTTGTTGATTATTACAAGTTTAGACAGCTGGCCGCTAGACTAATTTACCAATCTAAAAAATCTTAGCTGACATGGGCTAATTGAGTGACTGTCAGTAGCCAGGTTTTTATGCCTGTAAAGTAGGCTACATATAGGATAAAAAAATGTCACGACAGGCCTGATAGAAAAATTATGATTGATGCTTGGCTGCCTTTTGACAAATAAAAATAATCTCGCTCTTTTGTCCATAATAATCTCATAATGTAGGCTACACCCGCACTGTAGACGCAAAATGTTGGTTAGAGAGCATGTGCCAATACCAGAGTGGACACATTCGCTATATAACCCAACATTATACATAACCCAACGGATAAAACATGTTGATGGAAACAGAAAATGTGTTGGTAAACTTTCCAAATGTCAACTAAACTAAATATACTAGACAAGGTGGGATCTTTTTGTGTAGGTAAAATGTTTTGCATATTTTATTTAAGCAGATTTTTTTATATTTGCATGAAGAATGGCTCCTGAGTGGCGCAGTGGTCTAAGGCACTGCATCGCAGTGCTAACTGTGCCACTAGAGATCCTGGTTCGAATTCAGGCTCTGTCGCAGCCGGCCGCGACCTGGAGACTCATGGGCGGCGCACAATTGGCCAAGCGTTGTCCAGGGTAGGGGAGGGAATGGCCGGCAGGGATGTAGCTCAGTTGATAGAGCATGGCGTTTGCAACGCCAGGGTTGTGGGTTCGATTCCAACGGGGGGCCAGTATAAAAAAAAAGTATATATATATATATAAAAAAAATATGTATTCACTAACTGTAAGTCGCTCTGGATAAGAGCGTCTGCTAAATGACGTAAATGTAAAAATGTAAGATCTGCCGCCAATTGGATGGAAACCTAGCTAGTGACTGACATAACAAGAGAAAACTGCTGCTGCACAACCAAATTTCGAAATTGCACCTTGTGTAATTTCAACAGTAAATTGAGACCCCAACTGAGTTCCTAATACAGTACATACAGTATATGATATATATTAGGAACTCAGTTGGGGTCTCAACTTACTGTTGAGAGTTAAAATAGTAGAATACACAAGGTGCAATTTTGAAATGATATTTATATATATATACTTCTTCCGTTTTTGGAAATTGATCCGCTGGCCTACAACAACGTTCGCTGCCAGTTGCCCATCCCTGTTCTAAACCATTATTGGCTATCATTCTACCATTTGTTTACTTTAGGTTCCGTTATGGACATATAGTTTCTATAGTATAAGAATAACGTTTTATTTAAGGTAGGCCTATACACTGTAAACCCCAAGGCATTTTTAACTAAAATACTTAAAACGTGTATGTGGTACTAACTCAAAACTAAGTGAGAAGTCACATCAACAATATTTTTTTGAAAGATTGATAACAAATGAACTTTTTTCCCAGCATGCTCTACTGCAGGTAGATTTTTCTGGAATTGTTTTTAATATCTGTATTTTTGCATGTACATTGAGTGATTGATTTATTAAATGTTATGCTACACAAAGAGAAATAAAACAATTCTAAACTAATCCAATCATTTCATTTTTGCACCTGTTACTGAAATGGGTGTTCCAGTTTAAATGGTTTACGTAGTTCAACTGTTGGATAGCCTAACACATAGGAATTACACATCACTTTGCAAGCCAGCATAATGTGATTGACAGTTTCTGGTAGATTTCCCAGGTTTTCCAGAAATCCTGGTTGGAAGATTACTTATAATTTTTTTGGGGGAAAGTTTGTGGAATTTTGCAACCCTACTTGCTGGCCTGATGTGGCCTGTTATCGATGAGTTTCAGGCCACTTTTTAAGGCCTCATGATATATGTAATGGTTAAATTATAATGATAATATTTGCCTAGGAACTCACTTGGTGAAGGCCACAGGAATGAAAATAAACGAATTCAACAGCTACGTCTCTGTTACTAACAAATACAGTCATGGGTGGTAACTCTACAATTCAATCGAAAAGGCAAGGCACACTGGGAAATTATTGGAAGCGTGGCTTAGTGGGGGCGTTAAATTTAAGCATACCTTATAACAACAAAAAATTTTTTTTTTTTTTTTTTTTTTTTAGGTAATCGATTTCCTAAAAATGTTTGAGTAGCCAGAACTTATCCGGTTTTACAGTGTAGGCTACTATTGTAAATCAGACAGTAATACAAGCATTTCATCATGCTTTAGTCGCAAGAAATGCTACTTTCCTACTCTTCGCTATTAATCCTCAATAGAGATTTGCTGTGCATCAGGCCTCTGCATGGGTTATTGTAGTAGGCTAGGTTAGTATTTACTGTATTTATACACCTCATGATTCAGACTGTTATTATTCACTTTCAGTTGCACTCCCAAAAGTCATCATCATCATCATCATCAGTAGCTGCAGCAGCAGCGTGTCCAACAGTGCTCAACCCTATGATTGTGTTTATTAAAACAAATAGGCTTCATACATACACTAAACAAACGATTCGGCACATCATTTGTAAAGTGTATAATGTAGATTTGTGATTTGTGATGAAATCGGATGCACATGCTTGCACACCACGGGCACACCACATTACTATAATTGTCTTTCATCCTATATTTCAAATATATTTAAAGTATAGGCTACTACTGGTAGTTTTCTACTCATAGAACTGGCATTTATTCGCTACATTTATTAAATAATTTATTGGTGGCGTGCAAACTAATTTGCAAGAACAAAATAGAGGATATAAATTGCAGAGATAATACCACAAACTTTAGAAAACACGTGCTCATGACCTTTTTTGTTTACTCGAAAGAAAGCGTTGACAACCAGTCCATTCCTTTTAAGTGATGCGATAAGGCTGTTCAGGAGTATCACATTCTTTGTCCAA